AATGTTGTAATTTGAAATACTCAACTAAAATGCATCAATCATTATTACAATTATAAAAAAACAACTATAATATATAATTGCATATATTATAATAATAATAAAATTTAACAGGTATTTGGTGCTATAAGGCAGGTGTGAACAATTTATAAGGTTACTTGTAATAATTGCGAAGTATTCTTTTAGATATGGACTTAATAACAAACAAAGAATTATTGGTAGATAAAATACGACGACAATTGATGAAAGAGAACTACGATTATATGTCGTCGGAAACGGAAGAAATGGTCACTATTAAATCTAATTATAACAATAATGATCCAAATTACGATGAACGCCATCCTAGAGCTTCTAATGAAGCTAATGTGGAAAAATATTTAGATGAAGATAATAAGGAATCTGTCGTGAGATCTAACGATGATATAGACTTATTTAACGGATATATATCACCATCAGAACATAATGAAAATGATTTAAAAGTGTCCAAGAATGATGTACTTTATTATGTAGACGATAAACATTTAGAAGATGATATCAAAGAGAACATAATTCCTGATTTAGATGAATACGAAAACAATGAAATAGGAAGCAATAATAATTTCACTAAATCAACAGTCAAGTATCGAGTGTTAAAGGTAAGATTTAAATACAAATTAAGGTTTATATATTTATTAGTTCTAGATGTAAAAATTGCCTTGGAAGACAAAGAGCCGAAAATGCAAAATATTAGTACAGTATCGCTATTTGGGGATAAGGCCGCCCGTTGTCGCCTATGTCTCGCTCATAGCACTACTAAATATCTTTTTCTGCATGTTAGTTATGTTACTGCATTTTATTTTTAATAGAGGATAAAGAGTATTTCATCCATTCATTCCAGGATTTTCTATACATAAAGTATTATGTAGTTTCCATATTTTGTATTCTAATTGTACTAATATTTTTATTTCAAGTTAAAACCGCGTCATCAGTCTCGACGTAGTGGGTCGTCTTATCGGCGATTCATTCAAGAGGAAGGTGAAGAAGGTGTGGCCCTGATCAACTTGGACGACGGTCCATTTCCAGAGTTTCGGCTCCCGCGCACCCGCACTCAGTACATGCACCAGGACGGAACCGAGGACGAAGCCGACACGGCTCCGCTCCCCGACACAGACATATCTAGGCCACCAGGCAACCTGACGGTGGACGATTGAATCCATGGGCAAAGCAATAGTAAATTGTTTAGAAAATCTCAATCTCTTTTTATATCGGCTACTTGTGATTGTTATCGTTGTAAGCTGTTAACAGTTAATTAGTTTTGGGATATTTATGATTGTCGCTTCAGTGACTGTTCGGGTATTGTTGGGTCGACCATTAATGGTAACTTTATTGAACGCTTATGTGTGTTCTGCGTATTATTGCGAAAGTTTTCAATATCACATTCCAGCAATTTTATAGTCCAGTTTATTGCAACCTAGCGATATACACGTATATATTATGATATGTGCATAGGTGAGTGTTTTATAGTGTATTTTATTTCGTTATCGATTAACTTTCTGGTCGTAACCATTTCAATATAAACAGAAATGGGGATATTACGAAAAGATATATTGCGCAGTTTATTGAACGCAATCTTGTTAATATACTTTCTAATAACTTTGAACAATGCTTATGCTTTTGTTAAAACTACAGCATACACTAGTACAGGTATGTATATAGTACCTACTCGTAAGTGTTATCTGATGTTACTAAGTTCTTCCTCTTCTTCATGTTAATAAAGGTTACATCCTAAATCCATGTAACTTATTAATTTTACACTTTCATCACAAGGCATCACAAATAAAGATTTCGTGGATATGATAAGAGAAGATTTACGCCGGAATAACGACGACTACAAAGACCTGACTACACAAATGTCCAGCCTTAATGTATACACAGGCGCAGGGACACATACGACAACAGTCACCACAAACAACACAACTAAGCAAACAGATTCTGGACCAGAGAAATTATATTCCAAAAAAGAATCAAAAGTCATTAACCTTAAGAGGAACGTTGTAGAAACTATGAAGGATGACATGAAACGAAGGGCTTTTGATAATGTTGGCTCTCTTAATATCAGTGATTTTATCAGAAAACTAAAGTCAAGCATAAATAAACCAAATAATTTACAAAACAAGAAATCAATAGAAATAAACAAAGTGCAAAACCAAACTGCATTAAGTTCTACATTAACTCTTCTTAAGGGATTCAGTGTAGTCACAGACAATGATCTGGAGCGCGTAGACAGTTCTAAATACACACTGCAACTAAAAAATAAGGAGAAGATTGAAAAAGTAAAGATGTTTCTAGAAAAAAACAAAGAGCCGTTGAGGGAATTCATACGCAACAAGGACCAGAACACACAGATAATAAGTATGAGAGCCACCGATACGTCAAGTGACGAAAACGTAAATGTAAGGGCTTTGCCGGACCAGTATCAGCTGGACATGTCTCCAGCCAAAGGCGCCCGGATCAACGCCATGAGGGTGAAGGTATTATTATTTGATATTAGACAAACTAGTCACTAATATTTAACACCTCTAAAGACTAAAGAGATATAGAAAATTTATTAAGTTAAGATTTTATCTGGCAATTCTGATGTCGATTTACACAGAGTATAAATACATTAAAAAATTTTAACGTACCTAAAAACACCTTATTCCGTGATAGATAAACTTGAAAAATAAAACGTAAAGAAATTTCCTATAAATTGACTAACATACATATGTTTACGTCCGATGGTCGCGGGTTCGATTCCTCGCACGGCACAAACATTTGTATTCATGAGTATGATTGTTTGTATCGGTCTGATTGTTTTCTATGTATATTTTCAATTAGTTGTTTAGTACATAAAACAAGCTCTGCTGCGACTGCTGCTTGGGACTAGATGGCGCAATGTGAATAAAAATACATAGATAATTTTTTTTACGTAAATAGATACAGTAGTATACTGTGTGAATTGTCCTAAGATTATTATTATTATTAAACTACACTGGATTATACTACTGGAGTATACTGTATATACTACTCTATTCACTACTCTATTCTACTATATATGTAAGAGAATTAATAGTTTCATTAATATGAAACTATTGCAATAAGTTGCAGTAGATATAGAAATTTACTAATATATATTTGCTCTGTCTTATCTTATTACAAATATTATAAACGCGAAAGTTTATGAGTATCGATGGATGTTTGTTACTCTTTCACGTAAAAACTACCGAACGGATTTTAATGAAACTGCGAAATATAGACGCAGGACAACTAGTTACATAATTGTAAATTTATTGTGATTTTATATAATTAAAATGACAAACAAATTGACAATCAATGTGACGGTAAGTGGTAACCATCACTGTATAAATGACCACTTCATCACACTCTTTATACAACTCATCCATTGCCATTCCGAACGACTAAGATTTCAGTACACTTCGCCTCTTATCCTGTAATTGCACTGTATCTGTATTCTACCGAAACAGCTAACAAAGCAAGCTGTTTTTTTTTTAATAATGGGATTGCGCTTGGTCTTACCTCATCTGATGGTAAATGATGACAAGACCTAGGATGTAGCGCGCTTACCCAGAAGATATCTATTCACCATAGACTTGAAGAATCCGGGGCTGTATTTCTCCGGGAACACGAAAGCTGGAAGTGTGTTCCACTCTTTGGCAGTGCGTATTAGGAAGGACGATGCGAACCGCTCAGTGCGAATGTGTAGAATTTCCACGACGTCCGAAGAAGATGAAGTCCCAGTGTTCGTCGTGTAGTTCGCTGCTTGGCCGAATACCGAAACAGCTTACAAAGCAAGCTGCTTGCCGGAATATAGGAGAGAATGAGGAAAACGCGCACACATCCATTTCACAAAATCTAGCTCGGTATGTAACTATTATTTTATGAAACTAATCGTAAATGTGTGCAGGGTCGTCTGTGTCAGCGCAGCGTGCTGTTCCCGGAGGGTCCCAAGTACGACAGCAAAGGACTGCAGTACCTGCCGGCACACGTAGCGGCCGATGTGAGGGGTCGGGACTTCGCCAACACGCGAGCTCCTGCGCTCGTGCTGCCGCGCTGCTGCAACTGTTGCAGGAAGTCCGTGCTCGGATGTGAATGAATCAACCAACAACACTATTAAGAATTCTAAGTAGCGTTTAATAGAAACAGCTTCGTGATCTCAACGTTCGTTATATTCATTGCTTAAAATTAACAATTTTAATTGCAAATGTATTTAATTACGGTAAAAGATTTTATGGAAATGGTAACCTTTACAAAATCTGATTGTTTGCAAGCAGACTTTGTAAGGACAACTGTACAAGCTAGCATCGTACATTATTTCGCAACACTAACATTTTATTTTACATTTCATAATTCATTAGAAATCAGTTCACATTCGGTGATCATGAACGCCGCGCGTACTCATTTCAATCATTAATCAGTTATATTTTAAGTTTCAGTATACAGTTTTAATCGAGTTTCTATCAGTATCATTTATCAGATTTAGCTATCAGAATCTTTATACTTTCGATACAACCTGAACATTGATCCTTCGAGTCTTTTACAATACAATTTTAACATACAAATTTAAACTCCAGATGATTATTTTTAGGTACATGTCTATTTATATTTTTATCTAAATGGACGTAGTTGAGGCCATAGACTAAGTTCCTAATATTAATTTTCCATAAATTCTTTAATTGAATAGTAATATATTTAATTGAAAAATATTTCCAATTAGGTATTCATGTAATTTTCATTTAATTGGGCGCCAATTGATGTATTTTGAAACGATTCAATTATTTATTTTAATTAATAATTAACATAAACTATTGTTAAAATGTATTACAGGAATCAAATAGTTGATGATACTGAAACGTTTGACAAAATAAAACGGAGTTACTATAGTAATGTTAAATGAAATAAAGAGAGATGTTTATAGACGTTTATTATAGCAAAGCACAGTGACTGAAGTGATATAAAACAAATTGTATAAAAAGAACTCTCATATTTTAAATATGGATAAACGAATATACAAAACTGTCGATGATTCTCATTGCAGATCTAACTATAGTATATATAGATCAACTATAGTAACCATTTAGTAGCGTTTAACACACTAACAAAACCGGCAACTTTTCCATAAAATTGACGACTAGACGGAAATACTTGCTCTGTATATAATAATAAGCAAGAAACTTGTGTGTAGAGCAACACACAAGTTTCTTGCTTATTCTTCTTGTGATGAGAAAGCTTTCCGAATAAGCGGTAGATTTAAAAAACATTGAATAAATGATTTTCTATTTCTATTTCTTTCTGTCTCTAGATGAGGAAATAATTAATCAGATAACATATTATGGTTGTTCAACCATCCCCTCTAGACAAAGCACATTTCAAATTGCTATTCGCTGGTATATAAGTCCAAATACACAGAATTGAATTGACATATGATTGGCATAAGTTATTGAAGCTGATCTCGATAACTCGTGTTAATTTCTAATAACAACGGGAATGTACCTACATAATACTGGCTGAGAATGACAGCGATTACAAGAAGCAATACTTGCTGTGTCTTGTATTACTAATATTATAAACGCGACTGTTTGTCTGTATGGATGGATGTTTGTTACTGTTTCACGTAAAAACTACGGAACGGATTTTAATAAAACTTCATAATAATATAGTTTATACATCAAAATAACACAAGCTATAAATTTCAGGCGAGTGAATCCGGGGACAGATAGTTTACAATAAAAAACGTATTATTATATTAAATAGTTAGGTTCTTTGAAATACAGTAATTAATTACGCAACCCAAGCGACTTTAGAAGGAAACTCTTCTAAAACATCACAGTGTATGCACACTATTGAAGTGTGCGTGAATTAATGTTGCCGCAGGGTGCGCTAGTTAATGTATATGACGCTGGGTGATGCTCATGTCAAATTGTTGTCCTGAACACAATTCATTATATAAATGGTAGAACACACGCGGGGCGGACTGTCTCTCATCAAACTCAAAGGCTCAATACCATCCGTGAACGTAAACTCTATTAATGGGAATTAAATTAAATAATACTTCAATTTGTAATGTTTTACTGTTGAAACCCTTCAAGTTACCAACGTCTCTTTCCTGAAACAATCAAATAACGTCTTCAATTAAACGCCCACGTGCCCGCAGTGCGTGTTAGACTCGTGTGTACCTACAGACACACACCACGCCACCTACACGCACGTTAATTAAACACGCACACACACACACACACACACACACACGCACATGTGTCTGTTTATATATTGACGCAATCTGTAAATAATATACATATTAATATAATTGATGTTGGATAACAATACATACATCAATAAATACTATTCATACAAGTATGATATTCCTATTAAACTAAATATGTCTTGAGTATAGTATAATGGATCGGTGGACTGTATGGGTGTCTAAATGATGAAAACACGTAGTTTGGAATAATAATATATTAATATGTGCAATTGCGAACTATACGAAAGACGATGATGGAATAATAAAATAAATTGAAGTATATCAAATAACATGTAATATAAAAAAGAACTCTTCAAAAATATAAATTTAAAAACAATAAAAATATCAAAAGAGTTCGGCGGTCGGTCGCCAACATACCGGGCCCCCAGTGGAACACTAACTACAGGTGGTGACCGGCCGCGCTTCTATTGTAATTAAAATTAACCTAGCTATAAGCACCACATCGCCCTCTATTGCAGTCGACGACGTCACTTTGTGCGGGCTTCTTGGTCGTAGTGTCGGCAAATATTCGTGCAGCTACCGTGCCCAGATGTCCTCAGTGGGGCGCAGCAACCACCTCCAGTCTTATCTGTTTGGTGGGTCGGCGATGGGCGGTCAATAAATATCATAGGTTATCGTCGTAATCGAGTATATCCCACTATATGTACATAAAGGGCCAGTCGCTGGTCTGTGGCTTAATAACTTGCCATTCCATCTTTATAATACTGATGGTATTGTACGCTCTTAAATTCTAGACTTTCTTTCGTACTGGGTGAATATGATGACAGAGCATCAGAAGTCGTACAAAGTAGCGACGGCAATGTAGTATAATGAGTGATAGTGTATTCGTAATAACCCGCTTTCTTCTGGTACCGGTGCGTGTTGCAAAATAGCTGGGCACGGGCTGCTTGGCCTTCCGCTCTTCAGGGAAGTTGTCTATTTCAGCTTGTTGAGGCGTCTTCTGGGCTTCTGTGTCGTCTCTTGCACAAAGTCGTGAGGGAAATGTGGTGCCATCTAAAAACAATTTAGAAGTTAAGGCTATTGGCCGAGACAGTTTAAGCCGAAATAGACCTACACCTTGGAGAACGCGGAGCCATGGAGGATCGGGTAAGGGGACGCAGGAGAACAACCTCACTAGTTCCGGTTTTAATCCTAGCGCGGTCTCCTCTGCGTTGCTGGCGTTTTCAGTCAACCCAAAAAGTGATGGTACTAAAAAGAATAGTGCGCCAGCCAACCATCTCAATTGAGGTATAAAATGTGGTTGTTGTAGTGCGATGCATACCTCAGTACTTACAAAGGAGGTATAGTCAAAACCATAGTCATAAGTCATAAGCAACGCAGGTTTGTAATTTGTAACCAATGCTTGTATAATTTGTAACCAACGCGGAATTATACTGGCACGCGGAATGTTGGTGGCACTCTGTGATCGAGTGAACCAGTTCTCTTTGTTCTCAAAATTATAATTCTGAGATATCTTAGAAGAGTCCCTGTAAATACTTATTTCACACATTTTCTGCAATACAATACGACCCGAAATGACAATTAGCTTTAATAAGCCATATGGGTCATATAGTTTTAAGGTATTGAAATATAAGTATTTTGTCCAATGCATGCTATCTTTGTGGCAATAAAGCTCATGGTTTGGTCTGACAGTACTGTGTGACTTAATAAGGTAATCTTGTACAACATTATAAAGTAGTTGCTTGTTTTCATTTAGTAATGAAAGTTGAGATAGCAACTTTATTTTTGTCACAGATTGAAAATTACGTGATTCAGGAGAACTTAACTCAGGGGTTTTGCGTAACTTCCCGATCACGCGGGTGGTGATATATTCTGATCGGACGTATGCCTGCTCCAGTGCGCTCATGACGACCCAAGGCTCTCGGGAGGTCCGCAGGAGTGACGCCACGATCTCGTACGCCGGTCCCCGAAAAGCGTTGTATAAACGTGTTAAGTTTTCGGCTGTGGAATAATTACGTTTAGTTGTCTCGTAACTACTCTGATTGGGCTTTTTTGAATAGTTAGAACTACTACTGATTTTGGGAGTAAGCTGTGGTGCCGGGTTCGCTAGTGGAAGCTCAACTGCCGGAAGTCGCACTAAGGTTGCGCAGTTATCATCTTCGATGATACGTGTAGGTTTCAGTTCGTTTGCATAGTTGACATGTGGTACATGTGACGGGACCGTGTTGGAAAGGATGGCCGGCTGTAATGGGGTGCCTTGGATATCATCCAAGGTGACAGTCGGTTCCTTACCAGGTATGTTCACATGCGTTACCATGGTCATGGTTGCATTGTGTTCCGAAACCCATGTCGCGGTACGTTTTTTAGTATCGCGAATAGAAGGACGAGAACTACGATGTGCAGACTTATCTTTGGCATCCAGTGCGGCGAGCTTCGCTTCCAATTCTCTCTGCTCAGCCTCGAACTCCAAACGCGCTAGTTTCTGCTCGCGTTCTGCCTGTAGACGTACGAGTTCACGTTGCCGTGCCACTCTGCATCGCAGGAGTTCTGCTTCGACGGCGAGCTTCTGAGCGCGGACAATCGCGGACGACCGCGAAATTCGCGATCGCTCGTTTCTGTAACAGCTTTTTGTCTTATGAGAGAGAGATATATCGGCATCGACTCGACATGAGCTAGTGGTGTCGCTAGAACGCTTGGTACAGCAAGAAGATGCTTGTACCGAAATCGAGGCGTCCGCCGTATGTGCAACTGTTCTAGCCAATGATGCCGAAACATCCTCAACTGTGGTTGTAGAAGCCGGCCATACGCGGCGCGATTGTTCGGAGTGATCGTAATACGGCCGTCCGACTTCTACAGCCATTAGGTTCGCAACTGAATTGGTTTTACTACGTGTCTCTACCATGTTAAACAATAAAAAAATATGACGGAAAATAGAAATGATAGAAGATATAATGTGATGCAATATGAAAATGAAAATTTGGAAAATAATTTAGGTCGATAAATTTCAACTTACGGCAGCGAAAACAACCAAAAGTATGAAATTTCAGTATTACGGCGACGAAAGGACCAAAATGTATGAAATTTCAATATAACGGCGACGAAAGGACCAAAATATAATGGATCGGTGGACTGTATGGGTGTCTAAATGATGAAAACACGTAGTTTGGAATAATAATATATTAATATGTGCAATTGCGAACTATACGAAAGACGATGATGGAATAATAAAATAAATTGAAGTATATCAAATAACATGACATATAAAAAAGAACTCTTCAAAAATATAAATTTAAAAACAATAAAAATATCAAAAGAGTTCGGCGGTCAGTCGCCAACATATAGAGTTGATTAGGTGCCTAACCAGTAAATGTAGTACGAATACGAGAATGTATTAAATTCCGGATATTCAGTCATATGGGGACGAAGCAGCGGGTTCAGCTAATTAAAAAAAACAATTAGATACGCAGTCACACGACCCATCAAAGCAGCGACCAGTCCCTGCTTCCCACGAGTGCGTTAAAAACCTAAGAATATCTTGACTTTTTTGTACTAAACCTATCTCTCGAGTCACTCTATGTATGGCGGAAAATTGTATTAAAATCCATTGCGTAATTTAAAAGATCAAAGCGTACGGAGCGACTTTGTTTTAACTATATAATTCATAAGTAATTTAAATACAGACTTGTAATGTCTGCATATTTTGCTACAATACAAATATTATACTAAATCGTTTTAAAATGTCAAAATTACAGCGACAAGTTTTTTTTTTAACTTTAACCATCATTATCATCATATCAGTAACAGTCACCACTGTGTTAGTGAGTTGTAGTTGTAGTTAGTGAGCCTCAATATCTAATTACACGTGGTTTGATGCAGGTATGTAATTGATTTCATACTCACTGTCCAGGATATTTTTCATTCAGCACCATCCGGTTGTGGCGGCCGCCCATTGGTCTAAAGCGAATCACTCCACCTCTGTTTCGACAAAGTATTAGAGCCAGAAACTGAGTCGCTCGCCTCGCTTAATACAATAGCTGCAGTGGGGTGTTAGTAATGTGGATTGATCTTATTGCTAGCAATGTACCAGGTCAGGTTGACCTCCACGCGATTCTCCCTGGAAACCATCGTGATAAATTCTTGGTGAATTTGTCACTGTTGGCTAACTGACCTGACCTCATGCTCATCTTGTCATCCTCGGTAGGACTTTACAATACCTACAATCTACCTAAAATACCTGCTAGGAAGTGTGACAATGTAGACAACACATCAGTAATTGATCCGGCCGAGGCTGCAGTGTCGCTACGAGAAGTCGGCATCATGTAATAGAGGTATGTACAACCACAGTGCGGATGGTTCACGGCGTATATTAGTTGTTCATCCGAGTTGGAATTTAACTTTTGCTCGATTTCGTCAATATGTTGCACATGATTATTTGGTCTGTTAACAAGAGATTGTCATATAAATTCGGTAAAAGTGTTTGACGCTAGTCCATTGTTTTCATGATCAGCTACACTATTTTTAGTCGACTGATTTACATTATACAGAGGTTCTTTTTCTTTCTTTCTTTGCAACTAATTCATTAAAACCCCGATATAGCTTCTCAGTTGTACTATCTGTGTCAGTACTAACTACACTTTGTCTCCCAGACATAAAGTCTTCATTATTTTGATAGTCGAGGCTATTAAATGATGATTGATCTGGAACCGTATTGTCGGTAGTCCGTACTAAGTTATTGTAGTGCAGGGGAATTAAAAGTTCTAAGTTAGATAGTCTAGCATCATTCTGTGAATAAATAAAATAAGGAATTAACACGTGGAATATTAATTACATATATCTATTATGGAACATTATTTGTATTTGTGAGGTTTATTTGCAAACAATCGCACAAGAATGAAGAATAAATATAAAATCTCACGTAAGAGAATCCTTTAAACAGTATGCAGGTAGGACAGACCTCTCCACGAGAGGAAACAGCACGCTTATCTTGATGATGAGTGCGGAATATTCTTTTTAATGGATGATAATGAAATACTGTTGTAATAAGGAAATGTGTCTACGCATCAATCAATCGAACGTTAATTAATCGGCCAATCGCGGGTAACCTGCGAATGAGCAAGAGGCGGGGACGCGCGGATGGATGGGTGGCCGTTGAGTCATTCCAATTCGACAATCAGATTCGACGTTATGTAGCCTATTATTTCACAATTTAAAATATCAATGTTATACTTCTATTCGCACAATAAATATTTTTTTTTATAATCTCTAAAATACAAAATTCATTAAAGAGCACCTGACCAGAGCAAACATCACAAACATCACAAACAGAATGTATCCACCGGTACACGCTACCACTAACTATTCTAATGTCGGTCATAGCTGGCTTTTATAACTTCACCGAATGAATACGAAGTAATCTCATTCCAACTATTGATGCTGTATACATTTCGGACCAACAATATATCTACTTGGAGCACGTATGGAGATACACACTATAGAAAGAATAGCAATAGGTATAATATGCTGATCAGATACATTAATAAATTAATACATTAACTTGATTATGTAATCAATTATGCAAGTAACTTTTTGATATGTGCGAACTCCACGACACATAATTTGTTTTATAGATTACTAGCTGTCCCGGCAAACGTTGTTTTGCCTTAAAATAAAAAAAAAATTAGGGGGATGAAAAATAGATGTTGGCCGATTCTCAATACGCTCACAAAATTTCATGAGAATCGGTCAAGCCGTTTCGGAGGAGTATGGGAACGAAAACTGTGACACGAGAATTTTATATATCAGATTAGCAATGATATCATCCTTTCAAATACCTACATACTTACATCTAAAATAGAAATATATAATCAAGTCACTCAGTGTACATATTAAGAAAAAAAATTGTTTCACCAAAAATAAAACACTAAAATTCATATATTATTTTAAGGGACATTTTTGCACAAAAAATTGCCGCAATTTGGGGGCTGTTTTTAACAATTACTAGAGTTTACCCCCGTGTCAGTTTCGTGTACATTGTATTTTAAAATTTTTAATAACCCTATTGTCAGCTACAGCAAGCAGTTACAACCAAAATTTATCTGTTTGCAGTTAGTTAAACGAAAATTTTCATCATTTAAAATTTCACATTTCAAAATCACATGTCTTTTTGTAATTAATGTTATTATGTACATCAATAAACTTACTTAACTACGGACTGCAGGCAGTGTAGTGCAGTGCAGTGCAGTGTTGTGCAGTGCAGTGCAGTGCTAACATTGTGATAGGTGTGGTGTCATTTAAATGAAACAAATAGTGAGAATATCATATTATTTATTGTATGCTAAGAGGTATCATTAAACTTAACATAATAAAATGTAACAGAGTACTCTATACACACGCATCTCACCATACATACATCACACATTCATACATATACCACACACGCGTCCATCGTTACATTACTCACACACACACACACACGCCCGACACATTGTGTTAGTTTGTTTGTCCCTGGTCGGCTGGCCGATACATCAAACACACGAATGATGTCTAGTACGCCTCCAACACAACTTCATTCTTTTTTTTAGTATAATTAGAACGGCAAACAAGCTGACGGCCCCCCAAATGGTAGGTGGTAACCGTCAACATGACCACGACACATCACGTTATCACTGCACACGGCACGTTCCGTGATGTAGCGGTGCTAGTCGTACCTCTCACGCATTGCCATTCCAGAGGATAGCGTTGTATACCTCTTATCCTGTAATTTCACTGCCTTAACACACTCTACAACCGATACACAGCTCGGAACGCACGCTCAGTGGCTGTTATAGGCGAGACTGGGGTCCACGCTGACAATATTTTACAGTTTTAAATTTATTATACGCTATAACAATCATTTGTATTAACTACTAACGCACTAGATGTACGTACGCGAAGCCAAATGAGAAAGCCTGTTTACAATTTAAACTTTAACATGTCAACCATATCAAAATATACATTTGTATACAATACAGTGGGCAGCGTCGCCAACGAACGATCAGCTCCGATAGAAAATAAGAACATTTATATAAAAATAACTTCATATGCGGTACGGTGCCGACCGGACTCTGCGAGGTGGTTATCTTGGAGACAAATTTCACATTACCGATGTTGCTTTACTTTTTGAGAGATTTTTATAAGGTACCTAGAAATCAAGTGAGTTTAATTTAAAGACAGTAATGGAAATACTAGTGCAAAAAAATATAGTGCCAACTTCCTAATTTTTATTATATCGTTATTATTTGAAATTTTGACATTTACACCTGACAGTTTAACTTCAAATTTCAAATTCAAATGATGATTCTAGTCTCCGAGTTTAAAAATAATAGAGTATACGAGCTTGTGCAACGGACAAGTGTCGTGCAGGGTGGGTATCGCTGCAGCCACGAGTCCGGCCGGGAGCCCGCACTAGTCTACAGAGGTAGTGCTGCGTCGCAGGCGCGGCCTACACTCACTGTGTCTCTGTCAGTCTTAAACGATTGTCGTCGCCTCAGCCGCATCACCACGGCCGGCCATGAGAAGCGACCATATATGATGATCATTACAATAGTTTTACATTTACAATATTAGAAAAATTAAATGAGAAAGAACGACGAAACTACCCACTCACTAGACACCGACTGAGTTTACTCCGATTCAATACAACTTGTAGCGAAGGTAAAGAAGTCACTGATCCGACCATTAACTGTCTAACGTTGCTGATAGCAGTACGATTAAAAAGTATATAAATGTGTTGAACATTTATATTAATATATTGAATGATCCGATTTTTTTGTCATTACATTATATCATTGCAAATTTACTGATAATGTAATTAGATTGAATGTAATAAAGTAAAGATGTATAAAATAACTTATAAGTTTTTATAAATAAAGATATTAATCAATTATTAAATACAAATTATTCCAAAGTATTTTATATCGTTAACTATGATTGTTATTTATAAAGAATATATTACGATTATTTATTCGATTATTCACATTTGTATTGAATATATGAGCGATCTCTTTTAGTATATTACTATCCGATCATCGACGTACAGTTTTTGTGCAATGTTATTCGTTCATTTTGGCTGAAGTTTTCACTGAATATTGTTAGTATGAGTGTTTTCAAATACAATTTCGAAAGTGAATATGATTTAATATATGTAGCTTTATTTATATTAATCTATATACATATTTGTCTATCTGAGAACTGAGAATTTTTTTTTGAGAAAAACTGATAGATTTTTCTCAATATTAGTGTACCTGTTCTGTAAGTTCTATCGAAACGGAGTAAAGAAATGTCAAACTAAGCGGCGGCGCAGTCGTGGCCACGTGACCAGTGACCAGTCCGTGTGCGGCGCACACACCGCACCTCACTCACGGGACCTGTGCGGCACACCTGTACGACAACAGCCGCCGACACATTGCGGCGCCAGTACTTAGCGACTGATCAGTACCTTATGATATATACATACCATTCAATGTTTACTCTGTATACATATTTGAAGATTTGAATCGCCCGTGCGAGCACATTTAAACTTTCTTTAATAGACTTAATTAAACAATAAACGGCGCAATTAAAGCTTGAAATAAAACTGAAATGTTCCGTCGGCAAGTGTCCCGCCCGAGAGCGGTGAGAGGTGTCCGCACTAGTGTCGTCACTTGGCGAGCCCCGCGCGCTTGGCCTCCAGCTCGTAGATGAGGAGGCGCCACATCTTGACGACGAACACCTCGGCCTCGTCGTCCAGCACCATCTGCACGTCGTCCAGGATGCGGTGGGGGGCGGAGCCGGCCACCACTTTGCTGCAGATGAAGTCCACCAGCGTGGGCTCCGGCTCGCCGATGTACTCGATTATCTTCTTGTTGATCCACGGCCGGATCTTCTTCTCCATCAGCGTGTTGTCGATCTGCGGACACGATCGCAGAGGTTCACGTGTGACTAGTACACAGTTATCATACGCCCACATCCTGTTATAAGGCTGCTATAACCCTCAAATCAAAACAAACTGCTCGGTGACCAAGTACGCGAGACAGAGGTAAGGGACGCGGACTTTGTGCTTGGTTGACTTGTATGTACAAGTTGCATAACGCACCATAATAAGGGGGAAAGGTGATTAATGAAAGTTAATAATGTGGACTGATGATGTTATTGCTAGCAATGTACCATGTCAGCTTGACTCGGTCTTATCTACCTCAGCCGCTAAAAAGCTTACTTTGTAAGCTGTTTCGGTTGCAGGGTTTTATTAGGCAGTAAAATTACAGGATAAAATATCCTGTAATTTTACTGCCTAATAATGACGTCTCAATACTCTAGAATGGTAACACATGAATGATATTACAGGTGTTAAATGATAAAATGACGTCCGTAGTGCTACTCCTGTATATTGACGACGGTCATTGCTTACCATCAGACAGATACCAGCTTGTTTGCCTCTTCAACATAGGACTGTAGTGGCTCAATATAGGATTATATTTAGTGTTCATGCTGCACAGTGAGCCGGTGTCTTACCTGCGAGGTGTCCAGCTTGTACTGGAACAGCTGCTCCTTCTGCGTGGGGATTTTGTCGATGAGACTCTTTATATGTTTCCGCTTCTCCTCTGCACTGCGGCTCTCCTTCTCGCCGCTGTCGACCTTTTTACTTTTGTCTTTCTTTTCCTTTCCTGTGGAGTCAACGAAACGTGACCTCGTATAAGTGTTCGGCTTTAGACATGTATTGTAGTTTTTTAGAAGTATTTTACCGCTTCACCGAATGACAGGGGGCGAGAAATGCAGACGGCACTCCAAACCAAAGGTAAAAAAATGTATGAAAAGGCTAAAAGCCAATGTCTGTCAGCAGCAACTAGGTCAAGGGTGGGGGAGAGAACGGGGCGCGGGTCGGCGGGGGCGGGGGGCGGCCCGTACTCACCGGGGCGCGGGTCGGCGGGGGCGGGGGGCGGCCCGTACTCACCGGGGCGCGGGTCGGCGGGGGCGGGGGGCGGCCCGTACTCACCGGGGCGCGGGTCGGCGGGGGCGGGGGGCGGCCCGTACTCACCGGGGCGCGGGTCGGCGGGGGCGGGGGGCGGCCCGTACTCACCGGGGCGCGGGTCGGCGGGGGCGGGGGGCGGCCCGTACTCACCGGGGCGCGGGTCGGCGGGGGCGGGGGCGGGGGGCGGCCCGTCGTCGTCGTCGGCCGCGAAGGCCGCGTGCACGGCGCGCACGTGGCGCCGCGCGCCGTCCGGCGGGGCCGGGCCGGCCGCGTCGCCGGACACGGACGGGCTGCGGCGGCTCTTGAAGCTGATCGTGATGGGCGAGTTCTCGCCGGACGTCGTCCCGCCGCCGCCGCTCGCGCTCTGCGCGTGCGGATACACATTATTAAATAAGATCATATGAGATTAGTTCGCAAGAAGACACCTTTAATGTATATTGAGACGTAGACGTCGATAATGCATATCCGGCTCGAAGGACTAATTTTCGGATTGCAGCGAAAGTATAAATAACTTTGATAGGTATTAGTAAAAAAAATATATTAAATGAGTACGCGCAGCGTTCTCCTCGATGACTAAGTAAAATATGAAATGTAAAATTAAATATTAAATTTGCGAAAAAATATACAAAGTATACACAGGCAGTCCATATTGACAATACTCGCATCACTTTATAATAAGGCGGTGTACTGACGTCTTTGGCGGGCGCGAGCGCGCGGTCGGGCGGGCGCGGCGGCGTGGCGCCCCCGTCGGGGCTGCGCGGGGAGCGCGGGGAGCGCGGCGTGCGGGGCGCGTGGCCGGCGGGCGGCGCGTGGGGCGCGTGGGGCGCGTGGGGCGCGTGGGGCGCGTGGGGCGCGTGCGGGGCGCCCCCGGCCGGCCCCGGCGGCGTGTCGGGCGGCGCGGGCGGCGTGGTGGACCCGCCGGGCGACACGCCCGCCGTGGGGCTCTCGCCGCCGCTGCTGGTAAGGGTAAATCGATATATATCGTAGTCATAAATATCATATAATTTTCATTGCGTTTCAACTATTACTGTTGATAATTCGTGAAGATTGAATAAAATCGTGAGAGCACTGCAAACTATTATATTTTATACTTGAAGTTATTACATAGGACCTTATTGATTACATAGTTCAAGCTGTGTAATTAATAAGGTACGCGTGCAGTGACATCATAGGCGAAAGGCAAAGAGAAAATGACTCGGCCATGAAATAATATATATAACTGTTGATATGAAAATGTCATTAGTTATATTCGATAACTCTCGAATAATTACTCATCACTTTTATATTTTATCATTGAAGCTATTACAAGAACGCGTATCTTATATTCATATATATTTTAATAAGAAAATTTATGACATCGTAGGCGAAAGTATTTTTTAAACTCTATATTTTAGGATAGTGTAGACGAACAATCGAACCGAAGAAAGCAGTGTTTTCAACATAAATAATATCAATAAGTGATAAATTTAAATATTTAATATGCGAGGTCAATAAAAACTGACATAGAAGATAAATAAAAATGTAACTGATCGATTATTTGTTGGTTAGATACGTATCGTGAAGGAGTGTGGGTGTGTAGTGTCGAGACGTGCGGTCGAAGCCCGTGCTGCGTACCTGTCGGAGAGCGGCTCGGCCTCTGGCGGGAGGTCGCGGCGCGCGCGGGCGCGGAGGGCGCGCGTGCGGTCGCGGGCGGCGCGGTCGCGGGCGGCGGCGCGCGCGCGCTCGCGGGCGGCGGCGCGGGCGCGGGCGCGGGCGCGCTGCGCGGGCGGCGCGAGGCTGGCGTCGAGCAGCGGCCGCGGCGCGTACTGCGCGTCGTGGCGGCGGCGCGCGGCGGCCCAGGCGGCGCGCGCGGCCGCGTCGCCCGCGTCGCGCCCGCCCCACACGGCGCGCCGCAGCTCGCTCAGCTCGGCCTGCTCGCGCGCGCGCTCGCCCGCGTCCTGCGACGCCTCGCGCACGCGCGCGCCCAGCCGCCGCTGCAGCTCCTTGCCCCTGCGGACGCGCGCGACACCCACTATCATATCGACGTCGGAATCCTACCCTATCCTGACCTCGACTATACACTGTTCTTTTTATAACAGTACGACCTCTTTTACGCCCAGTCGGCTACCGATTCATGAACGAATATGACGATCCCTGCATCATAAAATCAAAAGCGGCTTGTACCGACTAAAAATTAAAACGAAATTTATTTACCAACCATACGACCCCAAACCCATAAGACGACCCCGATTCCATAAATTAAATTGAATCAAACTAATATTGATTCTAAATTCTACTCGGCTATGTCATATATAAACTCAATCTACTGACTTGTAAAACTTGTGATCGTCACGCTCATCATCGTAGTCCTCCAGGAACTCCTTCAGTCGTTTGGCCTCCTTCTCGCGCTCCTCCTCGCGACATCGCTCGCGCTCCTTCTCCTTCTCGTACTCCTTGGCCTTCCGCCGCTCACGACCCTCCCAATTACGCAATCTGAACAAACATGTTAAAATTAATTCAAACATACTTTATTTACAAAACAAAGAAATATCAAGTCAGAAAAAATCTATAAAAGTGTCAAAGCTAAAGATAACCTACAAACAATTTATTATACTTAAATTAGTCTCATTAATATCATAATACAAAAGTTTGTAAATGTGACGTATGTAGTATATGTAAGTAATGCAGCCTCCTTCTTGTCGCACACCTCCTCCTCCGCTAGTACGAGTTGCTGTACCTCTCCTGGTAGGCGGCCTCCTCCCCCGCTCGTACGTGGTGGCGTACCTCTCCTGGTAGGCGGCCTCCTCCCCCGCTCGTGCGTGGTGGCGTACCTCTCCTGGTAGGCGGCCTCCTCCCCCGCTCGTACGTGGTGGCGTACCTCTCCTGGTAGGCGGCCTCCTCCCCCGCTCGTACGTGGTGGCGTACCTCTCCTGGTAGGCGGCCTCCTCCCCCGCTCGTGCGTGGTGGCGTACCTCTCCTGGTAGGCGGCCTCCTCCCCCGCTCGTGCGTGGTGGCGTACCTCTCCTGGTAGGCGGCCTCCTCCCCCGCTCGTGCGTGGTGGCGTACCTCTCCTGGTAGGCGGCCTCCTCCCCCGCTCGTGCGTGGTGGCGTACCTCTCCTGGTAGGCGGCCTCCTTCTCCCGCGCCTTCTTCTCGAGCCGCTTCTTGTCGCGCGCCTCCTCCTCCAGCTCCTTGTCGCGGCGCGCGTCGGCCTCGCTGCGGCTGCGCCCCCGGGATCGCTCGCGGGACCGCTCTCGTTCGCGATCACGTTCGCGCTCGCGTTCGCGGGATCTTTCGCGGTCGCGCTCCCGCTCTCGCTCCCTGTCGAACGACAAATTCTTATATCATTTTCACTATCTAATAACAATTATGTACTCTTTCCCACACGTAATTCACTTTTAACAAAATTAGATAATAGATTGCATATATTATTCAATAATAACGAACGATTACGATAATAATATTCTTAAAAGAAACAAATATTATAAATAGCTTTAAATAATGTTAATGTATTAACATCCGCATGACTAATTCAAACACCGAATGTGATACACTTAGGAATCGTAAACTAGACCGAGTAAGGTATGGAAGGTGCGAGGTAGTGACCGTGTGCGGGTCGTCCGCGCGGCGCGCTCTATCTCGTGCCGGGTGCGGATGTAGGGATGCAGCGCGAGCGACCGCATCGCACACGACTACACCGGTATCATATACACACTAATACTAAGCGAGTACATATATTTCAAACTTTAACTAATAAATTTTTAATTGCTCGCAGTCGACAGTACGATTGAAGTGGGTCGAGCGCACACTGACGCAAACACGTTTCAATCACCGTCGTGTTCGATTTATTGCTCGTTATGAAATATCACGTTAGTTATTTGTTACCGGGCGTTCTGTCATAGGCCGGCTCATAACGATGCCTTAGTAACAAATCCGATAAAGTCATATGTGTCAACGATTGTCCTTTAATATGTAGTATTTACTAAAAGGGATACATAAAAAAAATACACTATAGTTAACGTGTTTAATGAAATCCTTCATTTCAAATATATCCTAGAGAATCTCTAAAACGGATCTTTCAATAATCGATGTGTTCTCCAATTCTTCTGAATGGATTAAATTTTAATACCAGACGCACGTGAGGCACTTTACTTCTATGTTCATAAAACAAACAAATGAACGCCGGGCGCCGCGCACAGGTTGCCACGCCAGTGACTGTATGTATGTACTGTACAGGCGAGTCCGCCGCCATAACGTGCGTGTTATCGCGAGCTGCGCACGCGCATAACGTACCGTATACACTATTCAGAAAACAATATTTCTTTCCATTGAATTTTTAAATTATAGAACCCATTTCTAACATTATATATTTATAAATTATAAGATTATAGTAAATATATACATGTAAATGTCTACGAATACTGGTACTTTGTACGAAATCTATGACGTTACAACTGAATGTCAGCACGCCAAGTGTGACTTACCGCTCTCTATCTCGTTCTCGTTCTCGTTCTCTCTCCCTTTCGCGTATTTCGCGCTCCCTCTCTCGTTCGCGTGCCTCCCTGAAATTATATTAATTATAATAAACAAACGTAAATACGATAACTTATATTGTCCTTCAGAAAAATCTAACAAGGATTAGTTTTCATTTCATGGCAGCGTGCGAATGTATACATACCTTTCTCTTTCCTTCTCACGTTCGCGTTCTCGTTCTCTGTCCCGCTCCCTCTCTTCACGTTCCCGTTCACGCTCCTTGTCCCGTTCATCGCGCCGGTCCTTTGTCCTGTTCAACGTGAAACAAATATTTCATGTCGTGTATTTGAATAGGTATACGTCTTGTGCAATGAATATATGTACAGTATATGTATAGGGTACCTGACCCTGCGTCCGTCATGAGGCATTACATTAGTCCTCCGGCACGGCAACTCATAGTATGATTATTATTATTATTAGGCTTACTTGTTTGCCATTCCAAATACATAAATAGTGTTACCTGGATGTGCTTCGCTTGCGTCGGTCCTTGTCGCGATCGCGGTCCCGATCGGCGCGATCGACGCGATCGGCGCGGTCACCTCTTTCGGCGCGGTCGCGGTCAGGCCGGTCGGGCCGGTCGGCTCGGTCGGCTCGGTCGGCTCGGTCGGCTCGGTCGGCTCGGTCGGCTCGGTCGGCTCGGTCGCCGCGGTCGCCTCGGTCGGCTCGGTCGGCCCTGTCGCCCCTGTCGGCGCGGTCGCGGTCGCGGTCTCGCTCGCGGTCGCGGTCCCTGGCGGCGTCCTTGTCCTTGTCGTCCTTGGGCTCCCGCTTGCGGCGCACCACGACCTCGGCCTCCTCCTGCGTCCAACGATACGCGCGCGTCACGTGGCGGCCGCGCCCCCCGCGCCGCCCGCCCCCGCCCCCGCACACCCGACACCCCGCGACTCGCTACTGCCCTACTACGACTCTCCGCGACAATATTATGACGAACATTCGACTTGTACAATATTTTGACACAACGTTCAGAGACAGTCGGCGGCGACTTTTACAGATGATAAAACAAAATAGTCATTTTTCTTTTGAAAAATTCTTACTGAAAATCAATCAATTTGATCGCGCTGCTCGCATCGGAGCCCATCACGTTTATATTATACTCGAAAGAATTAGTATTAATTCTTAGGCTAGGTAGGCTGACAACTGTCTCTTTATTAAGTTAGAGTGCGTTTTCATGTAAAAAATATATCTTTAAATAGTAAAATATCATTCTGATTTTGAACTTCACGTCTAATTTCTATTGTGCTAATGAAAATGCACTCTTACTATATAAATGACAAATAGTAAACATTACTTTTCACAGGCATGTCCTATCAACGACGACTACACACCTGAGCAACGACGCAGCCAACAGTATAGCTTTATCATATATACATATATTTAGGTATTCCACGGTACATATATTCACTCCCTCACCATGAACCAATACTATGTCTTTACCCCATAATCTTTTTAAGAACTGTTATTAGATTCCTACGTGACATATATTCTGTGAGCTCGGCTGTGTTTCGACATATCAGATAGTCGGTCGCATCCATTCATTACTTAATCTGAATCAATTTTATTTGCACAAATTCCCGACTTTCTCTTCTGATAAGTGTCTAAGTAATAACGAGACTATGCATGTTGGCCACAACAGTCTAGTGCTAAGAAATTCCCCAGATGCACGCGTACACAAGTAGCTAGGATTTGGAAATGTACTCGCGAATAAAAAACGTAGAAATGTTATCGACGTAGCAGAATAAGAGCCGTAGTCGCAAACAAAGGTACAGGGGGGGCCCGGGGCGGGCGGCGGCGGGCGCGCGTCATCAAACGGTAGCTCGCGGTCGTACTCGCAGGCGGCCGGCTCTAGCGGCGCAATCTGAAATCCGACTACGTATCATAGCGGGTGGGAGAAAAGGAAAAAAACCTGTAGCTCAGTCGAAAAGTCGGCGACGACGAAGGGTCCTGTGCGCGGCGAGCGCGGCACTAATACGAGACCGAGTCAAACGCGAGCGGCGCGCGCGCCGCTGCCGCACCTGAAACGGGACCTAGTGACAGGGCGTCGTCTCGCTCGCACACGCTTCTCGCTCGCACTCGTCTCTCGCTACTTACGAGACTCCGGCGCGGCGTCCGGCGGCGGCGGGCGGCGACGTCCCGGCGGCGCCTGCGTGGGCCCGGCCCGGCGCGCCCCGGGGCGGGGCGGGGGCGGGGGCGGGGGCGGGGGCGGGGGCGGGCGGGGGCGGGGCGAGTCGCTCGTCCGCCACTCACCAATGCGGAGTCGCGACCGTGGCCACTCCGCTCGATACGGCTCGCGGATATCCTCGCCCACTAGCACTACGGCGGCATCCGTGACCGTGAGCCGTATCGATTGGAAGTGAGCCAAATGTAACTTACATATTAAATTGTGTAATACAAGCCAACAATTTCACTAATTTCGGTATCGATGAGTCGAAGGACCGATAGTGACTCGAAAGAGAGACGACTTCGGCATCCTTACGCGACCTGCGTACGGATACTACTCGTGAATCGCGTCACCCCTCTGACGGATGATTATCGCGAAGGCGACGATGTAAATTGGGCGGATGTTACGACACATTTCGAAAATATGAAACAACAATATAATAGCATCCTCGGCCCTCATTGCCGCGAAACAACATCAACGGTTATTTAACGTCGCTGCATATTCTATTAAGTACGGTACGATTCGAGTTTCGAGAACTCAGAGCTCACACGATGATAAATATATTCTTTATAGATACGTGTCACACTACGCATAGAATAACCGGTTAAAATGTTTACCTGTGTATTTTTAAAATTAGTATATATATTAATTAATTAAATGTATTCGTTGGCTAATGTTCCACTGCACTCCAATATAAACAGTGAATAGTTTCAAGTCTGTGTGTTGTACCGGTCAAACGACTCGTGTGCGACAGACGTAACGTAACTGCCGCGCGGCAGTGAGGGCCGGACGCGGCGTGTGACATGAGAGCGGTGTGAGTGCGGTGTGTGTGTTCGCGGAGTGTGAGAGTATCGAGGGCATGGACTCACCGTCGGCGCGCGCTGCTCACCTCACTAGCCGCCGCCGCCGCGCCGCCGCACTCCACACGGACCTACCGCGACCGCGACCCGACGCGACCCGACGCGACGCGACGCGACGCGACGCGACCCGGGCGACCGGGAAGCTCGTATACTCAATTTTATACATTTGTAGAGCGGCTTCTTTTTATAAAAGGTTCGCTTAATTTTATCCAGCAAATAATCGTTTAAAAACAGCAAAATATATTAGGAACAAAGTATTTTAATACAGGAGTATTTTTTATATTTGACTTAATATAAAACAATTAAATGTTCACTGGAACATCATTTCAAAGATTGCACATTTCTGAAACTCTTCACGAGTGTGAATGTAATAGCGAGTATATATTCGAAACCGGCGACGAGTCGCGACATTTATACGATACATCGAACAACGGAGTATAGCGGAATCGTGTGGGTGCGGCCGGCCCTCTGGCGACAGTAAACAGTAGAAGTTGAGTCGGTTGTGAGTGGCCACTGGGACCGGGGTGGCGGAGGGGTGCCGGCGGGACGGCCTACCTTCATGCTCTCCCGAAACTTGCCGATCTCGCGGTGGATCACGTCGCGCTTCTCCTCCGAGATGTCCGCCTCCTCGAGCACGCGGGCGGTCTTCGAGATCGCCTCCTCTGCAACGGAAAGCGCTCGCGTGAAACGTCGTCGGGGGAAGTGCGGGACGCGCGTGGCGGCGACACTCACCCTTCTGCAGCAGCTCGTAGTTGTTGATGTCGTCCTGGTAGTCGGCCATGAGCTGCCGCAGGCGGCGCTCGGCGGCGTCGTCGAGCGCGCGCTGGCGGGCGTCCAGGTACTCGCCGTCGCCGGCCGCCGCCGCCGCCGCGCCTCCCGACTCCTGTCCCAGCCGCGAGCGCTGCTCGGCTGCGGACAGAGGCGCGTGAGTGCGGTGTACGGCCGGGGGCGGAGCGTGTCCGCCCGCCGCCGCCGTACACTCGTACACTCGTACACTCACTCTTGTAGGTGTCGACGAGCGCCTGCATCTTGCCGTCGGTGCGCGCCACCAGCTTCTTGTCGGCCAGCGGACGCTCGTGCAGCAGCCGCACGCAGCGCAGCGCCGCCTCGGGGCTCGCGAACTCGCAGAACCCGAACGTGGAGACGCGCTTCCACGACAGCACCGGCCCGCACGCGCCCAGCAGCGCGCGCACCATCGTGTCCGGCGCGCGAGACGTGATGTTGCCTGCGCACTCGCACGCTCACTCACTCCGTACCGCTACCCGTGTACTTCACGTTGTACTCGATTCCGATTTATTTTCATATTATAATCCGAACAGTGATTACGATATTGATATGTGAAATACATATAACACACAAATATTTAACAGACCATCTAAAATAGTTAACTTGGATCTGTTTTCCAATATTATTACATTAGCTAGCCATCAATAAAGTAAATCATACAAAAATTGAAGAATATATCAATTCCAGGGATATGTATGACCTTATAATATTACATATTATGAATGCAATTTCAATTCATTATTATTTTTTTTAAATGTAAATTTGTTATTATCCTAACTAACCTAACACTTTGTTAAATTGTGAAAGCCTATCAGTGACATAATTTATTTTACAAATTATGTCAATAATATACACATAGCGCTGGCTTTTCTATAAATAAATAAACATACTTCTTTTCATATACTTTTCACATACTCTTTCGAAACATTGTTCTATTCTGGAGAAAGTATTTGTTTATTTTATTTGTTTATATAGCCCTTGTACTGATGGTAAAGTTAATGTTCATTTCGTTCATTATTATTTAAGTGCCTAGATTTGTCAACTCGTCCTAAAACATAGGCCTCCTCCAAGAGACTACATATTCCTCTGGCCAAAACTTACCTTCTCCATGTTGCTCATTTAGTTCCCTTTGTATGTGGTAGTAATGCAGAAATATGTTGTTATAAATAAGACTAGAGACGCCATGAAATTGTGTGTTCATGTGCAGAGGGTGGTCGCGTGCAGTGCGCGGTGTGGGGGTCGTCGTACCTATGAAGATGGTGACGGGCGGCCCCTCGGCGTCCTTGGCGCCGTTGGTGCGGGCGGGCGCGCGCGCGATCACCTTGGCGAGCCCGGCGCCGGGCGGGGCGGGCCCGGGGCCGGCGGGGCCCGGCCCGGCGGGGCCCACTCCGGCGGGGCCCACCCCGGCGGGGCCCGGCCCGGCGCCCGGGGCCGGCAGCAGGGCCCCGCGCCCGCCGCCCGCGCCGTACGCGCCCACCATCACCTGCGGCGGCCGGTACTCATTGTTAACCATCGACAGACTATTCCGGATCCATGGCCTCATTGTCGACACGACAGACATACCATATTAGTTCTACCTCCACAAGATCTCTGCTAGAAAACTACTCTGGTCCATTTAATTCTTCATGATGGACTAGCTGGCTATACCTCACGCTCATATTAACATCCTCAGTGCAGAAAGATGTATGATGGCAATTATAATATTTATAAAAAGTAAGAGATATTGCTAAAACATTCGAGCCATTTGCAGTCTAGTTCTGGAAATCATCTCGAGGAAGTTCTGATATTATGAAATTTGCTCCCATTTGTAGAAAAAAATATTTATATGATTATCCAATCCTTGCCATTTAAACTAGCTCAGAAAAGGTACCTTCAGAATATTAAATACATTTAATTGTACACATGTTGGATGCATCACAGGACTACATAGTATTGGCTTAATAAAATACCTATAGCATTACTGATGTTTTTATTTATTTTTCTCATTGCTTTCTTGATTTAATTATTTTAAAACTATGAACACATAGCAGTTTTTGTATTCATTCCCGCATGCATTCTTATGTAAAATGTGAATTCTATAACTATCAGATGGCAATTGTAAGTAGCTATGACGTGGTCTAGTGTTTTGAGTAGTCATGCTCACTGAAATGTCCAGACTTGTGGCAGCATGGTGGGCCGGGTTATTGGGCTCCCTAAAATATGGTCGAGCACAGTGATGGCTGGCTCATCCGTTATACTCGTGAACGGGTGCTGCTTGTTGAGACTGGTCTGCTCTAAACATTATGACTGATTTCCTCTTATTAATTGTTTAACCAGTTGGTAATATATTCAATATTTTTTTCTATTTGAGTATTTAATTGAATTAGTGCTAATTGAATTAGTTCCCAAGTATCGATTAGAAAAAGTTAATAGGTCTTTTATGGGAATAGGTATAAAATTTTACAATAATATACCAAAGGATATATTGGAATTACCCTTAAATAAATTCAAAACATCTGTTAAATCATATTTACTGATCAAGGCCTATTACTCACTAAACGATTACTTGAATGACGAGCGTGCATGGCAATAGTTTTCATGTTCGGGATTTTCATTTAATGTTAGACATAGACACCTATATAAATACCTATGTATTGTAAATAAACTGGATTTAAAAAAAAAAGTAATTCAATTGAGTTTCTTGCCAGTTCTTCTCAATTGGATCTATATACCGAAATGGACGGTAGGGAAAAAAAATATAATGTAAAAATTTGATGTTCATAAGCGGCTAAAATGTCCTACATGAATAAATAATTTTTTAATTTGAATTTGAATTTAATTGGTGGTTTTTATTCACACCCTTAAACTTAAAAATATAAAGTAATAATAAAATAATTAAAAGAGCAACACTCAAGTTTGTTGCTCGTTCTTCTAAAAAAATGTAATGACTATTCAAAAGTGCTTCAATGTAAGTTTATTTGAATAAATTATTTTCTATTCTAAAATGTAATTAAATATCTAAATTGTAATTGTAAAACTAGTATATGCATGTAAATATAGAAAATCTGTTGTGGTAATGTGATGTAAAACAAATAGGTGGTAACATTATTTGAAAACTTTACACATTTACACCTGTCAATTTAGTCTCCGGGATTAAAAAATAGACTATGCATCCTACATTATTCAGTATTTTATGTGAGTTCACATATTATAATGTTAATAAACACTGGTGATTACTCAATATACAATTTTGATATTGAACAGAATTTGATACTCAATTAAATGAAGTTATTCTGTTTTGTCTGTCGATATTATTAATCTTAGCAGCTCCTGTCACATTATATTTCAATAATAAGAAATCTAAACAGATTTCATGTTATGGCTATCGACTATTCTTATATAGAAAAATAATCGATCAAACAACCCCTGATCACAAGTCTCACAAGTCAACCTTTTTTTAAAGAAAAGCGAGTAGTATGCTGTTTTGGTTAACTACAGCTAAACTTTAGAACAGTTACTTGACAATGATGGCCCAGAGCCATCAGATCTGGGCCATCATTGTCATTGTTGTTAACCTCACTCCACTATCACCACGGCTGGTAATAGTGGAGTGAGGTTAACAAGTATGCGAAAGATAATGTATTCTGAAAGATACGTACGTGTGTAGCCATCGGCATGGTGACGACTCCCGGTGGAATACCGTAAGGTACCAGCGGCGGCCTAGGTGGATACGACATGCTTCCACTGACAACGACAGCCTACGGTACCTTAATCATTCGCTGTTCACCTAATATATGAAAGCTTGGTTCACAAAACACTAGTATCGTGACAATTGTGATTAATCACAAAATCATATGCGTCACAAAAAGAAACACTAAAAAAAATAGCAAACCATTATTAATCAATAACAATTGGAACAAAAATTAATTTAACTAGATATTGTATTATTTTAATAAACTAAGTAATTACTGAATATTTTAATATTATCTGCCATGTTGTTTTTGAAGCACGGCCATTACTTCAACCACAGACAATATTTTTTTAATAGTGCTTATGACTCTGGGTGCTAGCCGTTTACATCGATATTAATCATAGACATAGTTCTACGGTATTGCCAGACTGGATATGGTGAATATTGTATTAACGTTTTTGATCACATTTTGAGTCTTTTAAAAAGGTCACACAGAGGTATTCTTCAGAAATTACTAATGCCATTTTAAAATAAATGTACTGACTGGAAGAATAGACTATAAGGAGCTCATAGTACCCTTAGCAGGCCAGTTCTGTTTAAGGAGCTCGTAGTTGGTTTCCTGACAATATGTACATAGAAATATTGATCTTGTATAATAACTAACAATAGTAAAATGTAAGGTGGGATGATACAGTTTATACACAGCAGTGCTTAGTAGACAATATTGAATTTGTCTTACTAGGCATTATTAAATGCAATTATTATTTTCATATATCTAGATAACTGCGTCCCATAAATGTCTTTACAAAAATTATTATCTAGTCATAGTACATCTAGTAATTTCTAATGTCCATCTATTAAGGAGATCTGCGCAGATGAAAATAAATATTCCCCGTAAAACTTGTATTTGTAGGTCACCGTTATTAAAACGTAAGTACATTTAGATGTTGCTATATACAAATAGGTGATTCCTACACCTAACAAACGGTAGTAACAGTTGAAACATGTCAACAAGTTTCCTACCAATAAAGTTTTATTTTATACATATTAGAAACACGACTCTGTTTTTGTTCATTTTTAAGACATCAGCTTCATCAGCATCACTTGTCACAGCATCATCTGTCTGTGCTGTTTTTTTCCTTATGAGGCAGATCTTTCTATTTTTAAGTCCTCCATTGATGAGGCAAGAATGCTCATATATTCCAATTGCAACTTTATTCTCTCCACAAATGCTCGTAATCGTTTGTTAAATATCTAAGAAAATTTCCCTTTGGGTGCGGGACCCAGTCTAGCAGCATTGGCACAGCCAATGTTCATATACATACATACATACAGTATTATAGGGGAAAAGGGAATATTATTAGTAAAGTAAATTGGTGATTCCTATTGCTAGCAATGTACCATGTCCATCATCATTATCACTCGTATGAATGGCGGTCCTCCACAGTGTAGTTTTCTAGAAATTTTTTACCAAGCACAACCACATCGTGGAATCATTTTCTCGTAATGGTATTTCGTAACCCATACGATATTGATACCTTCAATAATCACTTACCATTGGTGAGCCGCAAGCTCGTTTATATAAAAAGAAATGAAGGGTTGACCTCTGCGCGGTTCCCCCTGGTAACCATCATAAAGCTGGTGTATTTCACACTGACATTTATCAAACGGTAGGAAGTAGTGTTAAATTTCCATTGTCAATCTGTGCTGTAACAGCACCAAATTATGTCACAGCGCGTTCGGCCACAGGAGATATAATAATAATAAGTAATAGAATTTAAACCACATATTAATAACTCCAATTTTTATATAATTCTATTATGTACATACATATACTCATAATTCATTTGACTAACATAGTACCCATGGGCTATATTTACATATACATATACTATAGCGCGTCTAATTGTCCAAATGATAATTCGCGAATATTCATCCATCTGTCATAGACTGATTATAAATATAAATGTGGCGTTCATAAGTCAGTAATGGGTACTATCAATTTGATATTAAATATTATTTATTTACAGTATTATTCCGTTAAAAACGAAACGCACACTTTTGAGTCACGTAAATAATCCCCCAGATTACAAATGGGATATTTTATAATCGATCGTTTTATTTAAATAACAATGATATGTATGCGCTTAATTAAATACAAATCACACAAAAGGCACATATTTACAATACACGTTGTTATCATAAATTGAGGTAATACCTATTCATTAGGTACCAATTATAATATATTATTGCGTCACAATATGTACACTATCGGTAGAGTAACACTAAATAACAAAGAGCACAGCAAGGGAGAGATGATTGCAGCAGGCGTGAGGACCGGCTGCACCGCCGCGCCGCAACAACAACCCGCTCCGTAATTATTATTGTTTATTATTAATTTAGGCTTTACATTTGAGAATGGAGTTTTGTATCAGACAATTTAGGCAGACATAGCATGCCTAAATTTTGTCTCGTCATATATAGGTATATTTTGTTATGTCACGAATAAGTGTATTCATGAACTTCGAATTTAATATATATTACATAGAATTACAAAAATAGTCATCTTTATTTAGTACTAGTATTTATGTCCGTATTCTGAATCTGAATGTAAACACGTCAAAAAGTATTCAGTTCTCGCCGGTCGAGACGGACCGGCGAGAACTGATCTATCGGCGGTCGCAGCGGGGTACACTCTTTCGCGAACATCATCCTTCGTAGAGTTCATTCATTGTATCATCTCTCACATAAAAAATACTCTTTTACACGTATCGGATTTCACTCGCTCGGACGTGGCTCCACGGGAGACGTCGATACCGAGACAGAGATCGACATCGCACTCGGTAGGGCTGTAAACGAAGGCGCGATCGGAGTCGCGTAGCGGCCAGACGAAGAGGGAGAAGTAAAATTAGAAGAAGTAGGGGCGGGCGCGGACCCGCGGCCTGTCGACCTGCGCCCGCTAGTCGCCGTGGTGGCCGTGGTGGCCGTGGTCGCCGTGGTGGAGCCGGTCGCGGCCCAGCAGGCGCGCGGCGAGGTACCCGAGCGCGGAGCCGGCCAGCAGCCCGGCGGCCGCCCGCTAGGCGCGCGTGGTCGCCGTGGTGGAGCCGGTCGCGGCCCAGCAGGCGCGCGGCGAGGTACCCGAGCGCGGAGCCGGCCAGCAGCCCGGCGGCCGCCCGCTAGTCGCCGTGGTGGCCGTGGTGGCCGTGGTCGCCGTGGTGGAGCCGGTCGCGGCCCAGCAGGCGCGCGGCGAGGTACCCGAGCGCGGAGCCGGCCAGCAGCCCGGCGGCCGCCCGCTAGTCGCCGTGGTGGCCGTGGTGGCCGTGGTCGCCGTGGTCGCCGTGGTGGAGCCGGTCGCGGCCCAGCAGGCGCGCGGCGAGGTACCCGAGCGCGGAGCCGGCCAGCAGCCCGGCGGCCGCCGCCTTGGCGCCCAGCAGCAGCCCCAGCGGGCCGGCCAGCAGCGCGCCGGCCGCCGCGCCGCCCGCGCCCAGCGCGCCGGCCCGCAGCCGCTCGGCGGCGGAGAGCTGGTCGCGCGCGGCCGCCACGTGGCCCGCGGCCTGCTCCACGCCGCCCGCCGCCGCCGCCACGTGGTCGCGCTGCTCGAGCGCGGCCTGCTGCACGTGGCGCCACGTGTCGTGCAGCGCGCGCACCTCCGCCTGCAGCTCGCTCCACCCGCGCAGCACCGCCTCGCGCGACCGCAGCTCGCTCTCCTGCCATCGAACCGACCTCGCCGTGAGCCTCCGACGCTCGATACCGTGCGACTTCGAATTGTTCGCACTGCCACGCTTCATACTTCGTGACTAATTCACCGTCGACATCGTAATAGAAAATATTTAAAATTTCCCCGCCCGCGACTTACGTGATCCTCGACGAGCTGCCGCTCCGCCGACCGTCGCTCGTTGTCGTGCTCCCGTTCGGACTCGTGGTCGTGGTCGTGGTCCGCGTGGTGTCCGACCACGCCCACCGAGTCCGTGGACATGGCGCTGCCGCACACCGGCTCGTTCTCTGCGTGCTGCCGATTTATGGTCAATGGCGTCGCCTCTGATACCACAAAATATTACAGTAATTTTAAATGAATTTATAAATTTTAAAAAATTATTAGACTCGGCGATAAGAATAAATAAATATGTATATTTAAATTATGAAATACATTAATATGACAAAATCGATTTCAATATGATCCTCCATAAACGCAATAATAAAGCAATTGAAGTTATAAAAACGATCTTTGCTAGCAGCAAAGCTGTTGCCTATATTAGTGAGATGTCATGAGATATAATTTTTATTGCAGCATCACTGAATAGATGAATCAAAGCTGTTCGCGATTAAATTTCAGTTGAATTTGGTATTATTGTGGCACCCGGTTCAGGCGAGTTTTTCGTTTGGTTATTAGAAACAAATGACAAGAAGAACAAGATAAGTAACATCAAGAAATGCTATGAATATTTTGATTATATTCGATACTAGCTGTACCCGCGACTTCGTCCGCGTAAATAATGAAAAAATATTTAACTCAATTAACACAATATAAGTCAAATAAATAAGTTTCATCAATTTAGCTTCAAAAATGATAAAAAATAAAATTAATATTTAATCAAAAAAAATTGCCAAATTTGTCTCGCAATCGGCCAATTTCAGGTTTAAAGAAAAAACACATACACACGATATACGATTTTATCATAAAAAAGTGTCAAAAAATCATATTTTCGCTAAACGTCAACGTCATGTTTCCGGAAGATGACGTTGACGCAAGATCTTTCGTTTTACATTATGTTATCTGTGGTTTTGTTCTCTGTGATGGATACCTTATTGGCGCAAACGCACGCGATGTGTTGATTGGTTGTTAGCTAGTGAAATGAAAAGATGGCGAATGGCGCAAACGCGCGCGATGTGTTGATTGGTTGTTAGCTAGTGAAATGAAAAGATGACGAATAAGTGTGCGCTGTATTCAACCGCATAAAGATAACCTTGTATTTCCATTTTGAACCCCTTACAACCCTTTCTTCGCATTAAAAAGTAGCCTATGTCCTTCCTCGGCGTCTAGATTATCTGCGTACTAAATTTCATTTAAATCGGTTCAGTAGTTTTGGCGTGAAAGCGAGACAGACAGACAGACAGAGTTACTTTCGCATTTATAATATTAGTAAGGAAGTAAGGATTAAGTCCATTCGTCTAATGAATTTAATATTCGGTATTCGACGGAGATACTGTACTTAACAACAAACATGAAAAAACAAATATTATATTTCATGTCAAATATACCATTAATAAGTTTAAGCGAATACGTGTCATGTTCAAGAATGAATGATTTATAGAAAATTTGGGATTGAAGTAAGTGCTACTTTTGTCGGTTATAGTTTTACACATGATGAATAATTGATATAAAAAATAAGGGCTGTCGCCAAATATTCGGCTGTTGGAGCAACTGTCTAACAACATTCAAACAGGAGTTAGAAATGCAAAATAGTGAGTCATGCCGCACGCCGCTCTGCACACAGCTGCATCGTATTGAATGGCCAATCGTAAATAGCATCTCATGCAAGTTTTATCAATATATATTTTGTTCTCACCCGTGCGAGAGCGGACTCGGCTCGCTACCACCAAATTTCTACAACTGCTCTCTATAATTCCTAAAACATCATTAATCGAATTTATGCCAATATTCGCCTTTCGAAAAAACTTTGTTACATGTAAATGTGAAAGCGCAGCTCTGTAAGTACTACGAAATATTAAACATGACATTACCGTCTCTGTTTGTCGTTACTGCGCATTCGTTTATTAATAAAACGTGTCCGACAAACGGATCGATTTCTATTCATCTAAAGTAAAAGATCGCTCGTCGCCGTATCGACCGTCGGTTACGACATCGGCGTCCGAAAATGCCTCCAAGGTGTAGGAGGCATTTTCGGACTACTCTAATGCCGTCGGCCGCGGCCGGCCTTCGTAGCTTCACCGGACGTCGGGGGGCGAGCGCCGGTGCCACTCCGAACCCGCGCAAGGACTCGAACCTCTCGGGCGTTTCGGACAGGAGCGGAGGGGAGCGGAGGGGAGCGGGAGGCGGCGGCTGGTACCGAGGTAGTCGACGATGGCTCGCAGCGTGAGGTCGCGCGCGCGCTGCGTGCGGCGGTCGAAGCGCGGCAGGTCGGGCTCGGCCACGCGCCGCCGCAGCGCGTCCAGCTCGGCCAGCAGCGTCCGCAGCTGCGACGCCACGCGCCGCGCATTAGTCTGCTCCGCGCGCACGCGCCCGTACTCGCCGCTCTCCTCGTACTGTTCGGGCACATTCCAATATTGTCACGTTCGTCCTTTATGTACACGCTCGTTCGTACCGTCTCCTATTTTTCGAGTTTTGAGTATTTCTTATATAGACAGATAGATTTTCGAGCGTATCGTATATAAACATATCGATTGTTTTCTTCGAATTATATGTATTGAACTAGCTTTTGCCCGTTTCTCTTCTTCTTAAAGGACGCCTAAGTCATAGTAGCTTTATGCATGTGAAGTCTCAGCCCGAATGGTTTAAAATTGACAAATTTTCATACAAACTTTCACCCCCCATTTTATCCCCTTGGAAGTAGAATTAATCAAAATCCTTTCTTAGCGGATACCTATGTCATAACATCTACCTGCCTGCCAAATTTCAGTCTAATCCGTCCAGTGATTTGGGCAGTGAATTAATAGATCACTATGTCAGTCACCTTTGAGTTATATTATTTAGATATATTATTCTGGTAACATAATTAAGTATAGTTGTGAAATAAATTATTAATTATTATCTAAAAAACCTTCGCCTACATATAATTTTTATTTAACACCGATTACATATGTATTTTTATGTGTATATCTTTATTGTTTTTCTTTACTGTTAAAATAACAAAGAAAATGTAGACACTAGTAGAATGTTTTGATCTCTAGCAGTTTCACCCACTCTATTCATTCAAACTATTATGTTTGCAAATTTAAACAACATTAATAATTAGCAGAAAATAGCTACTATTGAAGTTATAAAGAAAGAAAGTTATTAAAAAATATATAATTAAGCATTTAATTTGATACTAAATCAGCATTAAAGAAATATATATATATGCAGTAAGTTTATGACAATCAACAATAAAAATTAACACATTTACATGGGCACTGTGGTAACAATTTAATTTAGAAATATTGGCAAACTAGCGGAATTGTACAGACCACAAGGACTTATTAATAGACAGCTGTGTCGTCATTACCATCGCGTGTTTGATACGCACATATGTTTGAAATAACTTTTTTGACAAACTTTTACCAATTTTGATATTATATATATCTATATTACGGGAAGAATGATACGTACCTTGACGATATTGGTTTTATGTTGTCGTAATAAATCTAAATGATGGGGAATCGCGACTTCGTTGAATTTCGATAAAGACAGCTCCACACGTTTCAAAGGTAGTTTGTTTTCGTCCTCCATATTCATGAATCCAGTCTATCATTTCAATTTTAGCGATAATTGTAACTGAACAAGTATATTTTAGAGTAAAAAGTAATATCTGAAATAAACAATCAAAACAAAGATTTAAAAGGACAAAAAGTTGAAATTATACAGTCAGGATCTGTCACGTAGACATTTCATTTTTGACTTTGACAATGACGTATTTTTGGGTCTGTACTAGAGGAGATCTATTTGGAGAAAAGTAGATTACTGACATTACTCTGACTCTGAGTAGTCTGTGTACTTATATACATTTGTATTTTTTATTGTAATCTCTATTTTCTCTAAAACATTTCTAATGTTAATCTTTGATAGAGTTATAGAAATTAAACGTGCTTGATAATTAATAACGGTCAATTCGTGAATAAAGATACAATGGATGTGGATACAGGTAAATAAGCAAATTATTATTCCGGTGCTAACCTAGAAATTACCTGCTGATTTTTCTATTTTAACAATTCAATTTCATTGATAACAAGTATTTGATTCGTTGGGAATGTATGTAAATGGTAGGTTAACAAATTGTTATTCTTTAAAGAAACGGAAGGATACAAATGCTAGGTGAAACTGTAGATTACTCAACAAGTTTATAATGTACAAATTTTAATTGTGTTAGTTTACTTACATATAAAACGAATTTAAAATAATGACCATGCATATGAAAGTATACCTACGTAGTGAATGCGGGGATCAGTAAGAAAGTGAGTGATATAATAAGTTTTCGTTTTGCCATGTTGCATTTGTAAGAGCAAATATTCAATAATAAAACATTTGTTGTAAACCAGATTTGTAGCTTGTTGTCTACTATTCACATACTGTAGTTGAAGTGATTATATACTTTGTCTGAATATTAGAATATTAATACATGAGAACAATGTAGCTGTATAAAGTGGGTAGGCATTGGCTATACATGGATTATGTTATTGTCATGTAAGTGATGGATTTCAAATATTAAGAGAAATGAATATGTTTAACTGTACATGGAGTGTGTTCAACTGTACATAGTGGTACTGACAGGTTCACTCCAGTAGTGTCTCATGACCAGACAGTTGCCATGACATGGTTGTATGAGTCTCAATACATTTTGTTAAATTGTGTGTAAAATTATTAGTTGGATATGGACTTCCTTTCTTATAAAATGACAGCCATCATGATTGTCATGATGGCAATACAAGTACAAGGATGTCATTTGTACATGTTTGGCACACTCCACCCAGTGGACTGATCGCATTTAGATTTATCATATAATCTGTATTGAAAGGAACCAATGTATTTACTTAGTTCTACAATTGTAAGTGTGTACTTTGCTAATTTGTTGTTGCTAATATGTAAACAGAAACTAAACCAATCAATATTCTTGTGAATACAGTAATTGTGCACTTCCTATGGATATTCTAGATATCAATGAAATGTACTTTGTGTAAATATACTAAACAATCTTTTTCTATATTTCAGATGGTAGAAAATCTCGTTCCCGCAGTAGATCGGTGAGTGTTTTTTAAATTACATACACTACATACAGACTGATACTTTTATTTTATAAGTGAAAGAATAGACAATATTCTACATATTCTCCTCACCTGTTCTTCTCTACTGCCCTATATATATCTGAGAAGGTTAGGGATAACAAAATAGTAGTGGAGAAACTGATGTTCATGAGTCACTGTTAATGTGGAATGTGAATCACATGGTCATGGGTATTATTTATGGTGTAGATTATTCTAGATAATAAAAATTAAAAATAATCCTACTTCAACACAAATTGCATTGTGTATGTACATTACCTTTATTTAATTTATAATATTTTTGGTACATTACCAGTTTCTTATTTTATTTAATCCTTATTTTTTTTAATCCAACGGTGATTGAATGGTTTCAGTACTTACCTGTATGGGCGCCGGCAGTGTATTCGTATTGATGATATTAGTTCATCCTGGTGTACAACGACTGCAGGCGTACCTCAGGATGTCACATTATCTCCTCTTCTCTTCACTTTATTTATCAATTCTATCACACTTCATCTTCGTTCATCCTACCACCTCTATGCAGATGACCTTCAAATTTATTCACAAGCTGATCTGCCTAATATTAGCGATGCTATTCAGTATATAAATCTGGATCTCGCCTATATATCTGACTGGAGCAAAGCTCACCCGCTCATGGCCTTATATTAAATCCTAAAAAAACACAGTGTATAATTATTGGAAGTTCGTATTTTACTTCTAGATTAGACTTCAATCAACTATCACCAGTTACCTTTGATGGCCATGACATTAAATATTCCGCCCAGGTCAAAAATCTTGGAATTCTTTTTGATGAAAATTTGTCTTGGTCACCACAAATTACACAGTTAAGTCGGAAAATGTTTGCAGCCGTCGGAAGCATTAATAGGTTGCGGAACTTCCTACCAGTGGATACCAAAATTGCGCTAGCAAATTCCTTGTTACTTCCAATCCTAGATTATGCGGATTCCTGCTATGTAAATCTCACTGAAGAACAATTAAATAAACTTGAGCGACTCCAAAATATGTCCATACGATTCATATTTGGTCTCCGTAAGTATGACCACATTTCCAATTTTCGCAATCAACTCAAGTGGCTACCCATTCGTCTTCGCAGGAATTTTCACATACTATGCCTTCTTTACACCATTCTTTTCCATCCCTCTACTCCAGAATATCTAAAAACTAATTTTTTATTTCACTCTAAATCCCCCGGTTCTGCTTTGCGTAGCACCAGAAGCCTTTGTCTGACGATCCCTGCTCACTCCTCTACATATTATTCCAACTCTTTCACTGTCCTAGCCATTCGCCTTTGGAACTCTCTACCACTCTCCATTCGATCCGCTCAATCTCATACAATATTTAAAAATCGTCTAAGGTCTCATTATCTGTCCCTATAGCAAATTTTTTTTTCATTTTCCTATTTAACTCTGAAATCTTCCAATATATTGAATATATGTATGTATATTTATTTATATATATATATATATATGTATGTCTATTAATTAGTTTGATAATTCTAGTGTCTTGTGTGTGCCATCTACCTCTTCTGTGTATGTTAGTCCTATCTTGCAGGTTGTCTGTAAGAAATTGCTTATAGCGATAAGACCGCCTTTTGTTCATAATTTTCTATTTATTGTTTTTCTTTTTCTTATTGTTCTTCTATGTGCACAATAAAGAGTTTATTATTATTATTATTATTATTAATCGTAAATAATTTTAATGTTGCAGATGTATAAATTATATTTATTTTATTATTTTTAGGTGGCTTCAGACTCAAGGATGTCACATGATGGCTCCCCAAACTCTAAAAGAAATTCAAGATCGCGCTCTAACTCGCACAGTGTTTCACGATCTCGTTCTCGCTCCAAATCACGATCTCGATCTCGTTCAAAGTCCCACTCTCGCTCAAAATCCCGTTCTCGCTCCAAGTCTCGTTCCCGCTCAAAGTCCAGCTCGCGATCTCGAAGCGGCTCTCGTTCGCGTTCACGATCTCATTCTGGTTCACCAAAATCTGGCCGATCGAGAAGCAGATCGCCCGCAAAAGACAGATCTAGGAGTGGTACGCCTCAGTCACGCTCCAGTCGTGGATCTAGAAGCAGATCGAAAAGTGGTTCGCCGGCTCGGTCGCGGTCGAGATCCAAATCAGGAAGTGTATCATCTAAGAAATCCAGGTCACGCAGCAAGTCTCAGATTCGCTCGAGATCCGGCTCACGCGCTAAGTCCAGGTCTCCAAGTGCTTCCTCTAGGAAATCTAGATCCCGTAGTGGTTCTCCGCGGAGATCGAGGTCACGCAGCAGCAGCACAAAAAAATCTAAATCACGGAGTCCTTCTCCATCCGCGTCACCGTCTAAAGCGAATTCTCCGAGAAAATCAAAGTCCAAATCACGAAGTATATCACCAAATAAAACTCGCTCACGGAGCAGGTCAAGATCTGTGGACAAAATGGAAGTGGACCGTGAACACGACACGGCCGCAGCGCGTTCTCGCAGTGTCTCCAAGGAAAAAATGGTGAAGTCACCAACCGGTGAGTTTTTTGTTAACCTATTGGATATGGATCAAAAATAATGGGTCTCTCAGTTTCACCTATTTTGCATTGGAAGCTGTCGTTTGATCGTGTAGTGCAGATTAGGCAGTGAAATTACAGGAGACAACATCTTAGTCCTCTGGAATGGGAACACATAATTCATATGGTAATGTGATGTCCCCAATGCTGTTCATATATATAGGCGACGGTGACCGTTTGTCATCAGGTAGCCAGTCAGCTTGTTTATTATTACAAATTACATAAAGAAGTAGTTTTTCTTTATAGAAAGCACTCTTTAATTAATTGCCAATAATACATGTGGGAAGTCGTGGGCGGAAAATCAGACTATATTCAATTTGTATAAATTTATTCGATTCGAATCCTGTAAAAGAGCTGTGGAGCAACCACATCACTTTTACAGGATTCGAATCCTAACGCCATCTTCCTTCATTCATTCGTCGACCAATCATACTTGCATCGTGCATCTCTTTCACTCATCATCTTTACTCTCCTTACTATTCCTTTCACACGCCTTCCAGAAACATCCAATCCCACATCCGATCATCCTGACAATATGACTGTCCTCAGTTATACAAACTTACATCTTAATTTATACATTTTTAGGTTCCCGTGCGAGCCGGTCAGGGTCCCGTTCTAGGAAATCTGTATCACGCTCACGATCCCGGTCCCGCTCAAAATCTCCAGCAGCAGGTGTGTACACTGTGTGTTGTATCAATATAACTGTATTACTATCTAGAGCAGTGATTCTGAACGTTGGGCCCACGCCTTAAGGAGGCAATTCCAAAATGGATTCTATTAAAATTATACAGAATGTGAATGTCAATTTTACATTATATGATTTGAAAATTTACTTCTTCACTGTTCCATTAATAATACTTTGGTTTAGAGATTTGTGAATTGAATGTCTGTGCAATACTCTAAATATATGGTAAAATTTGTTCTAAACGTTTATAAATTAATACAGGCATATAATATAAATGTAATAAGATAATAAAAATCCTTCCGGTTACAATGCGCCAATCTTCTTAATTCTTTTTTGTACAGACAATGCAAGGAAAAGTCGATCTCGTTCTTTATCCGAATCTCGGAAGTCGGCTTCACGTTCGCGGTCACGCTCGCGTTCTGGATCACGATCTAAGTCGAGATCACGATCCCGCTCCGGCTCCCGCTCTCGATCTCGCTCCAGATCCAAGTCGCGATCCAGGTCCAAGTCGCGCTCCAGGTCTCGGTCCGGTTCGCGCTCACGCTCTCGCTCCGGCTCTGCTAAATCTAAATCCAGGTAATTAAATATTATTTCAACTAGAACAAAGTATTCAGGAATTCAGGAAATATATAATATACTAGTTGTATTACTATATATCTCCCAATTCACATAATATGTCTTGAAATATAGCCTATGTGTTATTCTGATGTATAAGCTATGTTATTGAAAGTTTAGTCAAAATCCGTTCAGTAGTTTTTACGTAAAAGAGTAACAAACATCCGTCCATACTCACAAACTTTCGTGTTTATATTATTAGTAAGACAAATATTATAAAGAGATAATGTTTCGTTTTGGAATTTTCTGAGTATTACTGATCCGATTCTGAAAATTCTGTTAACGTTGGATAGGCCATTTATCGCGTAAAGCGGCGACAACATCGAGCTGCGACCTGTAGCCTAGAGTTGAAATCTGTTGCATAAAAAAATATAATTGCAGTTGAATTACACTGTTGTCCGATGGTTCTGTTTATAGTGATACTATTTCAGTGTTGATTACTATGTTGTGTTGTAGGTCGCGCTCTAGATCGCGGTCCAGCTCGAGATCAGGGTCTGGTTCACCGTCCAGAAGGGGTAAGTAAATGTTATCCTATTTATACTAATTCTACGCGGAATGTGTCTTTCTTCATTAGTAGTATGTTTTTTGGAATTGATCTATTCTACAGTCTAGGCTAGACTTAAGCTTTTAATCTGATGTCGGATGATGTATACGAATGTGACCATTTTTTTTTGTTATGAGTGAGATGTTAATGTAGTAAATTAGTTTTACTGATATTTAAGTAATATAATGAATAGGATACAGGTCGGTAGTAAATACTGAATTACCTTTTGTCTCCGGGAAAACTGTATAATGTCGGTCAGAGAAGGATACAAGGGGAGCGAGAATCTAAAAGCAGGACAGTCCCGTTGGAAGTAGGACTTAGGATCGTGTATACACAATACGAAAATGCTCAATATTAGATTAATATAATGTGACTGCTAGATAAAAATTAATTAATATTACTTCGTTTTGTGAGATCTCAGTGACGTTGCGTTACCTACAAAGAACGATCGCGCATCGACCGTGTCGCTCGTGCGATCGACGCGATCGGAGGCGGTCGCCGCTCGTCCTGCGAGCTGCTGCCGGTGGTTCCGGTTCATATTTATACTCGTGTGTGATGTGCAGGCACCAAGCGGCGCGCGGTGCGGCTCGCCTCCGACGACGACGCGGCGCCGGAGGGGGGCGCGGCGGGGGCGGGGGCGGAGGGGGCGGGGCCGGGGGCGGCGCCGGGCGAGGCGGGCGCGGAGGGGGCGGGGCCGGGGGCGGAGGGGGGCGCGGCCTCGTCGGACGAGGAGGCGCCGGGCCCGTCGAGCGCGGAGGCGGGCGGCGGGATGTCCGACTTCGAGCTGATGTTGGCGCGCAAGCGGGACGAGCGGCGCGGCCGGCGGCGGCGCAGGGACATCGACATCATCAACGACAACGACGACCTCATCGCGCACCTCCTGCAGCAGATGAGGGCCGCCGCCGACCGCGACCGGGACCTCAACCGCCGCAACCAGCCCGCCGTCTCCAAGGTACGACAACAACCAGCCCGCCGTCTCCAAGGTACGACAACAACCAGCCCGCCGTCTCCAAGGTACGACAACAACCAGCCCGAGACCTCAGCCGCCGTCTTCAAGGTACGCCACCAACCAGCCCGGTCTCCAAGACCTCAGCCGCCGTCTCCAAGGTACGACAACAACCAGCCCGCCGTCTCCAAGGTACGACAACAACCAGCCCGCCGTCTCCAAGGTACGACAACAACCAGCCCGCCGTCTCCAAGGTACGACAACAACCAGCCCGCCGTCTCCAAGGTACAGCAGCAACCGGTCTGCCATCTCTCACTTATATATAAACATAATTATAATATTTCGTACGTAATTTATCACATTCCAATTCCAATAATAAAATCGAACAATCCCATGAAATAATGACTGGTGTTGATGATGCAGAATAAACTATTATATAGTATGTATCTTCAATTGAAATAAATAAGTGAACTTAATAATTGATGAATTAATTTTAATTTATGTTATGTGTATGTTGGACAGGTGTCAATGCTGAAGTCTGCGATGTCGCAGCTCATCAAAAAGGACCTGCAGCTGGCGTTCCTGGAGCACAACGTGCTGAACGTGCTGTGCGACTGGCTGGCGCCGATGCCCAACCGCGCTCTGCCCTGCCTCCTCATCAGGGAGAGCATCCTCAAGCTGCTCATGGACGTCAGTACCGCACCAGTCACGCTCACATACATACATAATTTCACTGACATATGTTACTATTCAACCAAAACACAATTCACAAAGCTAGTTGCTATCTGATAAGTATACATACATATTACTATGTTATATTATACCATTATAGTTAACTAGTTATCGATATGGAGAGAAACAATATATAGAATATTTAGTATTGATGAGATGAAGTGATGGTTTTCTACTCGGATTACGACTATGGTACTATGGTGACGTCGACTTTAATGTCCAAAGATAATTTCAACAATAGCTAATTGATGTAAGGTGAATGCGTTATGTGTGAACAATGTGTTCAGTTCCCGTCCATCGACAAGTCCCTGCTGAAGCAGTCGGGCATCGGCAAGGCGGTGATGTACCTCTACAAGCACCCCAAGGAGACCAAGGCCAACCGCGAGCGAGCCGGCAGACTCATCTCAGAGTGGGCGCGGCCCATCTTCAACCTCTCCACCGACTTCAAGGGTGAGCCACACCCACACACACACACACACACACACACACACACACACACACACACACACACACACACACACACACACACACACACACATACCCTGGAATGAACCGTGATATTCATGGTTATAGACCAAATAAAGGAAAAATATTTAAATATCTAACCTAAAAATCGAAAGAAAAAAGATTAATTGAAATCATCATGTAAATTAGAAAGCTAGAACGATTCAAAAATAACACATTTTCATACAATCTTTCACCTCTCTTATTTTATTTTACACCCTTGAGGGTAAATAATTTACAAACTTTGAATGTCGTATTGATTTACATTTAATCAATAGCTTTAAAAATAAGTTCCATGGGTCTATATTTAAAATGACGATACTTACACACAAAATCTTTTTTTTAAAAAAAATCCTTTTTTTTTTTTTTTAAATTCTTTTATTTTAAAAAGCGAGGTAGACAGAGTTATTGTCTCATTTATAATATTAGGAAGGTGTAAGTATTAATATTCCAAGTATGATTTTGTATTTATGACGAATAGTAAATCATACCTATATAATATTGATTACATGTGTACTAGATATTAATAATTCTGGTCATATATCAGGGATTAAGCTATGAAATTGCTGAAGAAGAAAAATAAAAATTATTCGATTGGTGAACTTCCTGCCGAGGTTTTTTCGAGAGTCCACAGCGTGGGGTTTTTCAAGATATTAAGGTTTCTTAAGGGTCGGCAACGCGCACGCGACACCCCTGGTGTTTCAGGCGTCCACACGCTACGGTAACCTGCGTGGTATAAAGAGAACGGCGATTTCATTGCAGCGATGTCCCGCGAGGAGCGGCAGGCGCGCGACGAGGCCATGGCGGGCGCGCGGCGCACCGGAGCCGGCCCCGCGCCCCCCGGGGCCCCCGCCGGGCCCCCCGCCGGGCCCCCCGGCAAGAGGGCGCGCGCGGACGGCGGCGCGCGGGGCGCGGGCGGCGCGGGGGCGGGGCCCGCGGGGCCCGGCGCGGCGGACGGCGAGCGCGCGCCGCGCCCCGGGGACCCGGGCTGGGTGGCGCGCGCGCGCGTGCCGCTGCCCTCCAACAAGGACTACGTCTACCGCCCCAAGTCCACCTGCGAGCTGGACATGTCGCGGGTCAGTACACCACACGTCACACACGTCACACACGTCACACACGTCGCACGAGTCCCCGCGCGGGGTGGCGCGCGCGCGCGTGCCGCTGCCCTCCAACAAGGACTACGTCTACCGCCCCAAGTCCACCTGCGAGCTGGACATGTCGCGGGTCAGTACACCACACGTCACACACGTCACACACGTCACACACCGCCCGGGGACCCGGGCTGGGTGGCGCGCGCGCGCGTGCCGCTGCCCTCCAACAAGGACTACGTCTACCGCCCCAAGTCCACCTGCGAGCTGGACATGTCGCGGGTCAGTACACCACACGTCACACACGTCACACACGTCACACACGTCACACACCCGCTGCCCTCCAACAAGGACTACGTCTACCGCCCCAAGTCCACCTGCGAGCTGGACATGTCGCGGGTCAGTACACCACACGTCACACACGTCACACACGTCACACACGTCACACACCCTACCGCCCCAAGTCCACCTGCGAGCTGGACATGTCGCGGGTCAGTACACCACACGTCACACACGTCACACACGTCACACACCACACACCTCAGTACACCACACGTCACACACGTCACACACGTCACACACCGCCCGGGGACCCGGGCGCAGCGCGCGCGCGCGTGCCGCTGCCCTCCAACAAGGACTACGTCTACCGCCCCAAGTCCACCTGCGAGCTGGACATGTCGCGGGTCAGTACACCACACGTCACACACGTCACACACGTCACACACGTCGCCCGGGGACCCGGGCTTGTTATGGCGCGCGCGCGCGTGCCGCTGCCCTCCAACAAGGACTACGTCTACCGCCCCAAGTCCACCTGCGAGCTGGACATGTCGCGGGTCAGTACACCACACGTCACACACGTCACACACGTCACACACCGCCCGGGGAGTGCTATTTTAGGATGAGTGGCGCGCGCGTGCCGCTGCCCTCCAACACCGACTACGTCTACCGCCCCAAGTCCACCTGCGAGCTGGACATGTCGCGGGTCAGTACACCACACGTCACACACGTCACACACGTCACACACGTCACACACCGCTTGGTGTATTGCAGTATGAAGGGTGGCGCGCGCGCGCGTGCCGCTGCCCTCCAACAAGGACTACGTCTACCGCCCCAAGTCCACCTGCGAGCTGGACATGTCGCGGGTCAGTACACCACACGTCACACACGTCACACACGTCACACACGTCACACACCGCCCGACAGACAGACAAAAATCGTAAATTAGTGTATGTATGATTATTTCTACATTACAAGCAGACACTTCAATTATATTTATATGTATAGATTACGAATGCACCGCAAACCGTGACCGATCAGTTTGTACGTTAACAGGTGAGCAAGAAGAAAATGACGCGATACGAGAAGCAGATGAAGCGGTTCATAGACCAGAAGCGCATGCGCAGCGGCTCGCGGCGCGCCGTCGAGATCTCCATCGAGGGACGCAAGATGGCGCTCTAGGCCCCGCCCCGCCCCGCCCCGCCGCGCCCCGCCCCGCCCCGCCGCGCCCCGCCCCGCCCCGCCCCGCCCCGCCCCGCCCCGCCCCGCCCCGCCCCGCCCGCCCCGCCCCGCCCCGCCCGCCCCGCCCCGGCCGCAAAGTGCCGGCGGTGCGAGCCGGTACCTCTCGCGGGTAGTTCCCCCGTGGCCGTCACACGTGTACTCGGAGTATGGTGTATGGTCATTCAATACGTACTTGAACGGTCACACGCTCGCGTGGTGTAACGTGGTGCCGTTGTTTGTAAATTTATATAAGTTTAGATATTTTAATGAGATTGTATTTCGGCTAGCATTCGGACATGACGCCACGCACTGCGCGTTTTGATTATTTTTAAACTATTGTATTCTGATATTTATAATGATATATAGTGCAACAGCGTCTGTAACGTAACATTCTTTTAGCGATTTAATTCGTAGAATATATGAGTGTTATGTTATGAACACACCCAAACACAGGACTGTACGTGCCCGCGCGATACTCACAATCACAATTACATCTGTTTGTATCGATGTGAAAACTTGTGTATATATGGTGATATGTAAATACTAAAAGAATGCGACGTAGGTCATAGTAGCTGTCTTATGTTGGACACATTATTATTATTATGATCATGTCTTGAGGCAGAGGCATGTGAGAGTCGCGCGCGCCGCGTGACGCCGCATAAATCAATTGTATTATTTTATTGTATTTTTTTGACGCACAAACCGAGTGGCTTGTACAAATAGTGGTAAGTTCTTAGCGGCTAAATATAACAACATACACTATCAAACAACTATTAGTTTAAAGCTATATTACAGTTAATTAGTTGGTACATTGTTATAGAATACGAGGCCGGACTCGCTACTCACTAGTGTCAGTGACGCGGCCGGCCGCGTGACACTTCAAAGTCTTAAATGTACGATGTGGCGGGAAAATAAAGCAATGATATCTTGTAACATAAGATTTAAACAGAGAGTTTGGTCGCTTCGGACAGCCCTCAACGGAGAGTGTTATTTTAGGATGAGTGGATTTCATTGAATGTTGACAGCACGTGGCGCGTGACACGTGACACGTGACACGTGGCTGACGGTGCGAGTTGAGTGTAGTGTTGTGTAAGTTGCAAACGCAACGTCGCAAACTTCACTTCAACAAAATGCAATGTTCATTGTGATTGGCTTTGTTGCAAACTTGTTTATTGACACAGTCCTGCGTGCTGTAATTGATCAATATAAAGCGTGCTTGGTGTATTGCACCTCGCGTGCACTACGATGACGTATAAAGTGAGTATACCCCGGCCACAAGCGATGACTGTAATAGCAACACATTCATCAATTCCCTGACTGGCGTTGGAATGCTATATGATTCGTTAGGTGATTATATTAATTTGTGACTGTTACAATCGTAACGCGCGCTACACGTGGTGGCCGCGGCGTGTCGCCACGTGTCGGGGCTATAGTCGCATGTAATAGTTTAAGAATTACAATAAATGTGTACACAAAATGTTTGTTTTAATATTCTCACCCTCTCACTTCCTCATCCCTACTGGTAGTTGTTTGTATTTTAGATTATAGTGTGGTCTCCCATAGAGCGGCGACTAGTTAAAAAAAAAAAAAAAACAGTACTCGCGCCGTGTGGGCGCAGCACGGAGCACACCTCGAGCTCCATCTCTTTATTGGCATGCAACGAATGTAACAGGTCAGCATGTCATGGTTGGAAATTCTATAATGAACATTATTATGTGTGTACTCGGCTGGTCGAACCATTAGCGAGTACCATTACCTGCTTACCGATACACCGCGAAGTTTGACATGAAGGCAAATAGATCCGTACTAATATTATAAATGCGAAAGTAACTCTGTCTGTCTCGCTTTCACGGCATAACTACTGAACTGATTTAAATGAAATTTGGTACACAGATAGTCTAGGTCCTGAGAAAGGACATAGGCTTATTTCATTTTTTTTTTTTTTAAAGCTAGAAGCTTTCAATTTATTGAGGCTGCTAATTAAATATAAATAAATATGACATACAAAATTTACTTTTAAACTTTCGTGTTTAATATACATTATTTAAATTATTAACCATGTCTTAACACTAATAATTTTACGGCAAATTTTAATAGATACGACACGTCAATAGCTACCATTACACGACATGTCAATAACTGTCTTTATACGACACGTCAATAGTTGTCTTTATACGACACGTCAATAGCTGTCTTTATACGACACGTCAATAGCTGTCTTTATACGACACGTCAATAGTTGTCTTTATACGACACGTCAATAGCTGTCTTTATACGACACGTCAATAGTTGTCTTTATACGACACGTCAATAGTTGTCTTTATACGACACGTCAATAGCTGTCTTTATACGACACGTCAATAGCTGTCTTTATAGGACACGTCAATAGCTGTCTTTATACGACACGTCAATAGTTGTCTTTATACGACACGTCAATAGCTGTCTTTATAGGACACGTCAATAGCTGTCTTTATACGACACGTCAATAGTTGTCTTTATACGATACGTCAATAGTTGTCTTTATACGACCCGTCAATAGCTACTATTATACGACACGTCAATACCTGACTTAATGCGACACATCAATAGCTGTCTTTATACGACACGTCAATAGCTGTCTTTATACGACACGTCAATAGTTGTCTTTGTACGATACGTCAATAGTTGTCTTTATACGATACGTCAATAGTTGTCATCATACAATACGTCAATAGTTGTCTTTATACGATACGTCAATAGTTGTATTTATACGACACGTAAATAGCTGTCTTTATAGGACACGTCAATAGCTGTCTTTATACGACACGTCAATAGTTGTCTTTATACGACCCGTCAATAGCTCTCTTTATATGACACTTCAATAGTTGTTTTTATAGGACACGTCAATAGCTGTCTTTATACACACGTCAATAGCTCTCTTTATATGACACTTCAATAGTTGTTTTTATAGGACACGTCAATAGCTGTCTTTATGTGACACGTCAATAGCTCTCTTTATATGACACTTCAATAGTTGTTTTTATAGGACACGTCAATAGCTGTCTTTATACGACACGTCAATAGTTGTCTTTATACGACACGTCAATAGTTGTCTTTATACGACCCGTCAATAGCTGTCTTTATACGACACGTCAATAGCTGTCTTTATACGACACGTCAATAGCTGTCTTTATACGACACGTCAATAGTTGTCTTTATACGACACGTCAATAGCTGTCTTTATAGGACACGTCAATAATTGTCTTTGTACGACACGTCAATAGCTGTCTTTATACGAAACGTCAATAGTTGTCTTTACACGACACGTCAATAGCTACCATTACACGACATGTCAATAACTGTCTTTATACGACGCGTCAATTATTACACGGCACGTCAATAGCTGCCTTTATACGACAAGTTTTACATGTTAGATGGCATAAATATATATATATATATATATTATATATATAGTAAAGTAAATGCACAAATGACCGCAGTACTACTATCCCATACTAGATGGCGCATAAAGCAAAGCATAGTAAACACAATCAACGTAGTACCACCATTGTGCACTAGGTGGCGGGAAGGTAAAAGTGGAAGGCGATGAAGTTTCGTTCTGTGTATCTGACATATGCAACAGAACAAGCACAATTACCTGCGGTTTAGGTTTAGGTTAGGTTAGGTTAGGTTAGGTTAGGTTAGGTTAGGTTAGGTTAGGTTAGGTTAGGTTAGGTTAGGTTAGGTTAGGTTAGGTTAGGTTAGGTTAGGTTAGGTTAGGTTAGGTTAGGTTAGGTTAGGTTAGGTTAGGTTAGGTTAGGTTAGGTTAGGTTAGGTTAGGTTAGGTTAGGTTAGGTTAGGTTAGGTTGGGGCGTGGGTCGGGCAACCTCCTAGTATGGGCCTGCCATTGGGAGGCTTCCCCATCCTCGTGGATACGTCCGCGGGGAACGGTGGCCGAGCAATGGTCTGGTTCTGGTACGCCCCGGGCGGGATAGTAGTCGTTCCTTCGGGATACGGCTACTATGTCGGCCAGTAGCCCGGCAGGTTGGGCGGGTTGCGGATTCCTATGCCTCGACAAAAGTCGAGGATCCCGGAGTCAGGAACCCGCCCAACTTCTTGTTTTAATCTTCGTTTTGTTTGTTTCTTCTTCTTTGTTTTGTTTGGGTTTTCACTTCTTTTTGTTTTGTTTTAATTTATTTGGGTTTTAGTTAGTCTTTGGTTTTTGTCTGTCTTTTTTCTGTCTTTTGTCTGTCCTATCTTTTTGGTTTTCTTTTCTGTTTCTTTTCGTCGTTGTTGGCGGGAGATCGGGACCACACCCGTAAAAAGGAAAAATCATGAAATGGCTGAACGAAAGAAGAATATACCCCAGGGAGGTACCGGTCGCTCCGCGGCCGGAGAATCCTCCTCCACCGCACCAGATCAGCTGGGGGTGGACTGTCCCGCGTCTTCTGGGGGGGACACGCTCAGTCGCAGGAGGGAGTGGGAAGAGCAGGTGAAGGCGATATGTCAGACCGTGGCGGACATATCGGACTACGAGGTTCACGTGGCCAACATGGACTCCGAGTTTACGGGGTCCTCGTTGTCACTGGGATCGGAGGAGCAGTGCTTGAGGGTGAGCACCTCACCCAAAAGGTACCGCAGAAAGAGGCGCGTCGTCGAGAGGCCGCAAGATCTGGACTCCGACGACGACGTCGATCTGGTGGAGGTGTCCACTAGGACAGAACGGGCCATGAGCCCGTCACAGAGCGGGAAAGGGGCGAGAACCGCCCGAATGGAGACAGAGGGCTCGGCGTCTGACGCCGGCCCCTCCAGATCCGTCTCCGTTCCGGCGACTGCCGCCCGTGGAACATTCGGCGGAGAGGTGCGGTATGCCGAGGACATGGGCGCCGAAGAGCTAGGCGCATCGATTGAGGAGAGTGCCCTTCAGGTTCTTTCCGCGGTGAGGGTGTCCGGTAACCTGAAGGGCACTATCGTCAAGGCGATAAAGGACTCCATCG